TAGTCATTTCAAGGCTTGACTACTGCAACTCACGCTTGGCTTCTCTTCCTATGTGGCCATCAGGCCCCTGCAACTCATCCAGAATGCAGCTCGGCTCGTCTTCAATCTTCCTAAGTTCAGTCGTGTCACTCCACTGCTGCGCTCCCTTCACTTCCTGTAGCTGCACACATCCGATTTAAAAACCTGATGCCTACAAAGCCGAAAACAGACCAACCCCTCATGACCTGATGGCAATGGTCAAAAATTGAATATGTCCTGGCACCCAGGTGGTGGAACAAACTCCCACTGGCTGTCCGAACAGCAGAGTCTCACATTCTTCAAACGCTGACTGAAGACCATCTCTTTATACAGCACTCAAGTGAGCACTGATATGTACTTAGTGCAATACAACACATTTCAATATGTTTAGTTCTGTTTCTTTTTATATAAGTATCAACATAGGCTTTTGTCTCTAGCAATATCTGAGCTCAGGATGAGCTTTCTCTCTAACCTATTTGTACCAGCAAAGGTATTTTTTCAGAGTAGACAACAAAGCACTTTTATAGGAGTGTCTGCTAAATGCTGTAAATAAAAATGTAATGCTTTAATTCACTTTAGATGCACGTCATACACTAAATGGACAAAAGTATTGGGACACATCTCTTAATCATTGAATTCAGGTGTTTCATTCAGTCTAATTGCCACAGCTGTATAAAATCAAGCACCTAGCCATGCATTTGTGAAAGAATTGGTCATTCTAAAGAGCTCACTGAATTCGAGCATGGTGCTACTAGGATGCCACTGTTGCCACTGTTGAGTTTGTGAAGATTTTTTCCCAGCCTACATATTCCATAATCAACTTTGAGTGGTATTATAGAAAAGTGAAAGTGTTTAGGAACCACAGCAAGTCAGGCACGAAGTGTCAGACCATGTAAAGTAACAAAGCGAGTCGCCGAGTGCTCTTAGTGCATGTAGTGCAAGTCGCCAACACCCTGCTGGCTCAGTAACTGCAGGATTCCAAACCTCCTCTGGCATTGACATCAGCACAAAAACTGTGTGCCCACGTGCACAAAGCAAGGTCCGTAAAGGCATGGTTGGGTGAGTTTGGTGTGGAAGAACTTGACTGGTCTGCACAGAACCTTGACATCAACCCCAAAATATCCCACAGACACTCTCCAAAAATCTTGTAGAAGCTTCCCAGAAGAGTGGAAGCTGTTATAGCTGGACCAACTCCATATTAATGCCTATGGATTTAGAATGGGATTCATAAAAGCTCCTATAGGTGTCCCAAAACAAGAAGTCCATTCAGTGTATTGCACTTATTATATTGTGCATAATTTAATTTTGGAAAATGGTCGTTAAGTCAGTTTATGTACATATATTTGTCATGGGTCAGTACGGGGGGAAAGACCCAGGTGCAGGGTGTGGGAACCTGTTTATATTCTCTACAGGCAGGTTTGGAAGTGAGGAAACCTCATAATGTGCTCAGAGGGGACAAATGGAACATAAAGAGAGTGATACTGAGGCGTTTGTGAAAACTTGGCTGAGTCAGGGTTCAAACCGCCGACTGCCGTACTCAAAGGGGAATGTATAACAAGGGAAAACCTAAATGAAAACTCTTTAACTCTGATGTATTGATTTGTCTCTTCTCCTTTTATCACTCCCTTTTCCTTTTCTCTTTGACTTGGAACCTTTGTTGTTTATCTCTTTTCTTTTACAGCCTCGTTCTCTTTCTTTGTAGCTTTTCTTTTCTCTTTGTTTTGTACCATTACCAGCTACCCCTCTACAAAGGTGCAGCATATTCCTCAAGTATCACTGCAGTATAAATAGGTGCTCCTCCAGCTGAACAGCATTAAGCCAATGAGCCCAGAGCTTTCTGGGAAGTGGAGTCCTTGGCAGAGGTTGCTCTAAACGGGTGTCACTTCTGCCCTCTGCTGGCAGCAGGGGGCACTGAGCACTTCCTTTACAATATTCCTTGCACTGCTTTGAAAATTCCATTCAAATATGTCCATTCCAAGGGCAGAATTTCTAGCTTGGTTTTCTGGGCATGACTCTGCCAGAAATGCTGCCAAATAGAGAACAGCTGTCCACAAACAACCACTCAGTGACATGTTTCCAAAAGTTAAAAAAGTGATTAGAAGTTACAGAGAAAATGAGTTTCCATCCAGATGACTTTTTGCAAAAAAATGTTTTCACGCTTCAAAAAGTTTGTCAGTGCTGGCTGTGGAAATGGACAATGGTGGTAATATTTTTCGACTGTCGACAACTTTTTTTCCTGCTCAACCTTTGTGGAGAAAATGCTTGTCTATACCTGAAATGCTGTGAAAACCTACACTGGATTTTTTTTTTTATTTGGGAAAGATATAAATGAAACAATCTCTCATGTGATGCTGCAGATAAAAAAAATAATAATAAAATGACAGACAGAAATAAGCCAAAGGAAACTTTTTTATCAATAAACAAAAACAAAACAATAACCAAAGACAACAGTTTTTGCAAGAAATGACGTCATTATGTAAAGCATTTTAATCACTTAACGTTAGTTTGAAGGACACAAGCTGCTGGACAGCAAAACTGGCTGTTTTTTTTAAATGTTTTTTAATTGCATTGCTTGCAATTTACACAGAAAATTGATGGAACCAGGGAAGCAGAAACTTCAACCAGCTTCTAAGACTGAACTTTGGAGGTGTGTCTGCAGATTCGTTGAGAAACTGAAAGTGAGTCTCCTGAAAAGAATGGAAGCTGTAATGAAGGCAAAGAGTGACTCACTGAACACTGAAACAATGACTAAACTTAGTGTTGGATGTTCTTGTGCAGTTTTTACAGAACCTGCAAAAAATGACCTGAATTTGTTTTCTTAAATGAATTATCTTGAGATAATTTTCTCAAGATGTTTCCTCTATATAATTATCTCAAGACAAATTTCTCAGGATATTTATTTAAAGATATTTTTCTTAGGAAGACATAAGGGTGTTAAACACACTTTGGTACGGAAGACCATGAGATATTTATAATTTTCTGGATTGTTATCTTGAGATAACAATTTAATTATCTTGTGATCTCAAGATAACAGAAGTTGTCATCTTGTGATAGAGTTATGTATCTTGTGATTCAACATAAAGTTAACTTAAGATAACAAGTTAAGCATCTTGTAATCTAGGGATAAAGTTGTCATCTTGAGATAACGAGTTAAGTATCTTGTGATCTCGAGATAAAGTTGTCATCTTGAGACAGAGTTAAGTATCTTGAGATCTCGAGATAAAGTTGCCATCTTAAGATAAATAGTTAAGTATCTTATGATCTCAAGGTAGTTGTGAGACAGTTAAGTATAGATAAAGTTGTGAGATAGAGTTAAGTATTTTGTGATCTTGAGATAAAGTTGCCATCTTGAGATAACGATTTAAGTAAATTGTAACCTTGAGATAACAAAGTTGTCATCTTGAGATAACGATTTTAGTATCTTGTGATCTCAAGATAGTTGTGAGGTAGCGTTAAGTATAAAGTTGAGATAGAGTTAAGTATATTGTGATCTTGAGATAACAAAGTTGCCATTGTGAGATAATGAATGTATAATGAATGAATGATAATGTAAACTTGAGATAAAATTGTCATCTTGAGATAATGAGTTAAGTATCTTGCGATCTTGAGATAAAAGTTGCCATATTGATATGAGTTAAGTTTCTTGTGATCTCGAGATAAAGTTGTCATCTTGAAATTGTTGTGATCTCAAGATAACAATCCAGAAAATTATAGCTACCTCATGGCCTCTCTGGACTTCTGTACTGTGGACTGTGATTGGCATCAATACGCTGTTCGGGGAACATTGTTCACTCCGTCGCAGCCCCCAATGTTTTAGAGTGCGTTCTAGTAAAAACTGGCTTTGAAGTTTGTGGTTCAGCAAACACCTCCAACACAGTCTGTTCTATTTTAGAACACATTTCTCTGCCGTCTTCAGTCCATGAGGACTGAAACAACATCTACATACTTGAGACTGAGTGCAATATAAAGTGCTATATAGTGGTCAGTTTCCATTAGAATAGTTCCAATCAGGGACAGCACCCCTGAAAAATGGACAGCGGGCTATACAGTGAATGGAATCCTGTCTGAACGGCATATTGGTGCCATCTAGAGGGCGGAGTGGGGAATACTCTTACATTTGCTTTATATATTTCCCAGGATATTTATCATGTGAAAATAATCTTGAGATGATTATCTTTAGATATATGATGTTAAGATAATTAGAAACAGAAACCTAAAAACCTAATTCTCTCTGGGCACTCAGTAAAAAAAGATAAATTTACTACTTCATAGTTGTTTTGACAGAAAATGAAATAAATTAAGGGTGATTTATGAATCTTGCTCAGTTACTGTATCGTTGGTCACACAGTAAAAGGTCATTCTTTGGATAGTGTACATTAAGATGCTTCAGAAAATAAACTTGGTTATATAAATTAGAAACAGTACATCCAGATAGATATTAATATGGAAAAATACCACTTTAACTAGCAAACCTTATAATGCACTGGCAATATATCACTGCTGTCAAAAGAAAACCTCGTATCTCCATTTTTGTCATTTTTCAGTTTTCGTCACAATTCGTAATTACCTGTTGTCTTTTACATTGTCTGTAAATTTCATGATGAATGGACAAAAAGAAACAGCACAAAACAACTCGGAAAAAATTCTGGTTCCATTCACTTACATTAAAAGTAAAGCATGTTTTTTGCTTCTCCTGTAAAGTTACCATTTTGGAGATACGAGTTTTTCTGCCGACAACAGCGATATAATTTCTATGGCTTCTATGGCTATGGATGATTTTAAATGCCAGTTTTCAGCAAGCAAAACATTTTCATTCATTTTTCATCAAGAAAAAATCTGTCAAATGTTATGGATAGTCAATAATCTGTTTGATATGCATCAGAATCCTGATTATCAGTGACTAATTCAACATAAAACCAGAGATCTATCACACCAAACAAACAGAATCATCTTCAGAAAGCAAGGACACGTGAAGAACATTGTTATTTTTAAGAATAATTTATTGCCAGTAGTAAAGCGGTTAAGCTAGTGGCAGTATTAAAAAAAACAAACCATAAACAAGACCAGAGCATCGCCCACACGCGAGCGGACGCCTGAAAAAGAAACGCATCCACGCTTCATCTCGCAATATAAATATACTGGGTCCCGTTTTTTTGACGGTGGAAAAATAAAGAGGTTTCAAAGTTGCAATTTACAAACAAACAACAAAAAATATGAAAAGAACATCACGATAAAATGCGGACGCCCGGGAAATATTTACTTGTGGATCGAGTGTGGAGACAGTCGAACGTTTCTCGCATATCAACTCGTACATCTTTATTTTTTCTCCTCCTTTTTTTTTGTGAATGAAAATACAGTAAGGCTGATAATGACACTCCTTTAGTTTGTGCATTTTTTTCCTTTCTTTTTTTGGAAAATAAAAATCGTATCTACAAAACAACCTAGTAAACCTTTGAAATCAAAACTGTACAGTACCATTTACATTACAAATGAATGAGGATTTGTAATTTTAGAAAAGAAACACAACAGTTTGCATGTTTTTTTTAACTATACAAATACAGACAGATATCGCTTTGAAATGTTGCTTTTTCTTTTTTGTTTTTTTGTTTTTTTTTCCATGGGCATGAGGGTGTGACAACATCTTTAACACGGTTTCTTTCTGACATCGTGTGCATAATAACAGTATCGGCACAGCAAATTCACAAGAAAATACGTCCTCAGCTCCACGACCGCTTGTGGAATAAACCGCTGTGTCCAAACTCCTCTAGGCAACGAGAGGAGGAACTGTCCTTGTCCTTGTTCGTGTTTGTGTGGTAAAATATCTTGCATACAGCTTGACTGTGTGTATGTATGCGCAAGAGGTCTGCGACCCAACCCAAGCCCGAAAAGGACCAACACAGTAATGGCACCGCTACCAACAGTGAAATCACTTCAGCTCCAGTACGTCCAACAGTGTTTCCTATCACTGTGTAAAAGATGCACGAGGCCTCCGTTACTGTTGGACACTCTGTGCTTTTCATTAGATAAAACGACAGGTTTTTGCATCATCTTACAAGGTTAAGTTCTCCCGCAGTGTGTTAAGTGTTCCTGCAGTAGCAGCAGTAGCGTGAGGAACTATAGTGCAGCTGAGCTAACAGCTGATCAGAGGAGCTACGATCAGCGATTCCACAAAAATATACCGATAATAAATCCTGTTAGTGTAAAAGACCAGTTTATCCCAGCAGGACATTTTCTGTTGATGAGCTTAAGAGCTTAGTAAAGAACAATGAACCATAAAACTGTGTCGGCGATAACCCATCTTTGTTAACCTTAGTGTGGGTGAGCAGGTTCAGGGCCGGGTCTCAAACTTGCAGGCTCGATTTGGGTTCAGTTTGGGGTTTCAAATTTAGCAGTGTTTGTCTGGTTGGGTCTCAAAATTGAGGGGTTGGTCCAGTTTGGTTTTAGGTTTCAAAGTCACCGGTATGCGCCTGGTTCATGTTTCAAATTTAGCAGTACCAGCCGGGCCAGGTTGGGTTTCAAAGTCAAGGGTAGGTGCTGGATTCATGTTTCAAATTTAGCAGTACCAGTCGGGTTGGATCGGGTTTGGGTTTCAAATTTAGCAGTACTCGTCAGGTCAGGCTGGGTTTCAAAGTCGTGGGTACGCGTCTGGTTCAGATTTCAAATTTTGCAGTATGAGTCGGGCCATTTTGGTTTGGGCCAAGTCTCAAACTCCGAGGTTCGGAGGAGGTTCAGGTTTCAAATTTACCAGTTGGGCTGGGTTGGGTCTCCCTCTCATGGATTGTGCAGACCTCTAGGATGTGCGAATCTAATGCTTTGTTGAGTCCTTGAATGTCTGTAAGAGTAATTGCAGTTTGTTTGTGTGTGTGTGTGTGTGTGTGTGTGTGTGTGTGTGTGTGTGTGTTGCTTTGTTGACGATAAGAGTCTCCTGCATAAGATTTAGTTTTCAGGCACTTTTCTTTTTTCTGCTCTTTTTGGATCCAGTGTCAGACTTCAGTATGCTGCTGTTGTTGTTGCTGTGAATCCAGCGGAGGTATGACGAGCCGCTGAAACTGCGCTCCTCCATCCTCTCCGCCACTGTCGTAATCGCTCATCAGCGCCTCCGACTCCTCGCAGCAGGCCGACATGTCCGAGCACGAGGCCGTGGACGTGTACAGCGACAGCGACATGTTATCTGCTGCTGGGGTGTCTAAATCCCGCCCGTAGCCCAGCGGGTAGCGCCCTGGCCTGGACCCGGAGCCGGAGTTGCTGGGGTCACTCTGGGGCTCCGGGTCCGAGGGGTAATGGTGGCGAGGGAGGTAGGGGCTGAGGGTGTAGAGCTGGGGTAACGGCGGCCGCTGGCGCACCGCTGATCCTCCGGGGCTGGAGGGGGCGCTGTTGAGCGCTCGGCTGCTGGGTGACTGGAGCGTGTCGTAGCCATACTCCGGCACGGGCGGGGGCGGGGGCAAGTCGTCGTGCGGGGGGAAGTCGTCGGGCGGAGGCGGGAAATCGCTCTCGATGTCATAGCCGCCAGGGTAATAGTCCGTGTCCAGCAGGGCGGGGTCATTGTACAGAGTGGGCGGAGCCTCCACCACCTCATACTGAGGAAACTCCTGGATTCCAGGAAGCTGAACGCTCGGCATCCAATCAGATGTGTCCCAGTGATATCCTACAGGGCCAAACATGAGATGTTAAAAACAGCATCATCGTGATTTTGAAAGAACATTCTAGAGTTTTTCAGCATCTGCACCGTATGGTCAACAACCACAATGATAAAAATACTCATTTCCATGCAAAAAAACATGTTTATTTAAAACTCAGAGCTGAAGCTAATGAGCAGCTGCTGAATTTCATGAATAAATGTTTGCAACATGTGATTATCTCGCAAATTTCAAACAACCATAATCTTTTAACAATACAGGTTTAAGACCTTATAAAAGCTGTTCTTAGGAAAGTTTATCCAACTTTCCAACTCCAAATAGTTCCAGTTACTTTCAGTTTCCCTAAGCTTTTCAGGTTCCAAGTTGAGCCTGTGAAAGCTCCGTCCATGCTAAACTGAATTACCATGAATTCATCCCTCTTGAAAACTAGTGCCATCTCTGAAAGAGCAAATTATACAGATTTGAAGCTTCATTTACAAATATTGTTGTCTAAAGAATTCAGAAATATCCACGTTTTGAATAAATGTTTACTGACAGAATTCAGCAACTGCCCATTGGCTTCTACTGTAATGGAGTTTGGACTCAACAGGTCAGAACTCCAGTCTGTGGTAATCATCCACACAATGCAGCTGTGGCAGATAAAATTTAGGTTGAAAAAACTAGAATATTCCTTTAACCCTCTACTGCACGGTGTTGCCATATGGCAACAATCACTTTATCTTAATTTTACTAAAAAACAGTAATATAAAATCTGTGTTTTCATATTTAATTGTGGAAAAAAAGAGTCTTTTACTTTGAAAGGACATCTCATGACCAGGAATTTTTATTATGATTTAGTTATTAGCACACATTCCAAATACCAATTGAAAATTGTATTTCTTTTTCAGATTTTATGGTGTTATGGTATGATTGCGAATTGTTGCCAAATGGCAACAAATTACCAAATAACCCACTAAATTTTTCAAATTTTTTTTTTATATTTCCATTATTTAAGCAATTTCAAATAACAAAACACATTAAAACATTGGATCATGTTTGAGTAATAATTCATGCAGTAGAGGGTTAATAATCTTACAGTGGGTAGAATTTAGCTCAGACACGTTAAACACACATTTACAGCTTTTTTTGGTGAGGAATTTCAGTTCAACTACTTCGAAAGATCAGCCAGCAACCCAAACCAACTGCCATCTGTCTGAAATTTACTGAAAATATTCCTCTACTGTATGTTTTTAAAGGATTTCTTTTAGAATTAGGTGAACTGAAACGGAAACCACACCAACCCTGGACGAGCAACTGTTAATATCAACAATGTTAAAAACAACAGCATGCATATCACACAGCAGTAATAATAATAATAAAAATTAAAAAATTATATAAATCACTTGGTTAAAGTGCCACATGGTATCACATCACACACAAAACACACAACAAGCTGGTATTACATGATACAGACACAGCACGATCACCTGTAAGTCTTATTAGTACCTTTTCAGGGACTCGTTTGTGTCAAATTAGTCCAATAAATATACACTGAATTCTATTTAAGTCATATTACATTTATGAGAAAATCTATTCTCAGACAGAGAAACGGTTACTAAACAGTACCACAAGATTTTTTTAGCACTGTGGCAAAAAAAAACCTATGAATTATTAATTATTAATATTCATTATTCGTTATTAATACTATTCATATTAATAAGTTTCACTAGGCCACATCACTAGAGAATACTACATTCAGTGCTAATGCAGCTAACAAGCTAAAGCTAGAAGTAAACAGGTAGCTTTTCATAATGCTAACACCTTACTATTAGCTTTATGTAGCACTATATAGCTTTTTATACATAACTAAACAATATAATTAATTTCAAAAAAAGGAAAAATCACTTGGTCCCCTCAGAAGGAGCTACTTCATCTGATGCTAATGTAAGCTAGAAGTGACCAGTTAGCATCATCTTCTTTTCATAATGCTAACTCTTTCATATTAGCTTTATATAGCTGTATATGGCTTTTATATGCGACTAAATAATGTAATTAATTAAAAAAAAGACAAAAAGGGAAAAAAAATCAAGTCATTTGGTGACATCAGAAGGAAATACTTCATCTGATGCTAATGTGAGCTAGTTAGCAGTAGTTCTCGTAATGCTAACTGTTTTATATCATCATTCAGTTTCATATAATTCAATAAAGTAGTAAAATTCCCAAAAAAGAGAAGAACAAAGACAAAGCACTTTTAAAAAAGTGACTAAGCGGAATTGAACGGTAGCATAACTAAATGCTAATGTAGCTAATAAAGTAAAGCTAGCCACAACTCGTTGCTGTTAGCCTTCATTCAGTTTTTGTGAGGTTAGCATTTGTGTGAGAAACGCTTTTATTCAGATACTGAAATTAAGATTCACTGACTGGAGTGATGCTAAAAGCTAAGTGCTCATGTTCTTCGTCACGGCGCGACACGCATGCAGGGTTTAGTCAGCGCTGAGGGGGAAAATCACAGGGCTTCAGGCAAAAACACAGAAATGAAATTTCACCTCTTGGGTTCTTGAGCTCATGAGGCGAGAACGACTCTTTAGACGAAAGCAGAGAGCAGAGAAACGAGAAAGAAAACGTCAGATATCTACATCTAGAGCGAGAAGGAAGACCAGAGAGAGAGAGAAACTTCTAGAGAACACATTGATGCCATTTGCTTCAACAGAAATGCTAACTGTGCGTCACATTATAAGGGCGGATGAAAATACGGCAGCTGCCACATTTGTTGTGCTGCTAAATCTCCAATAGAAACATAAAAACGCGTTATTTTTTAAATTTTTCTGCTCAGATTAGCATCACAAGTGCTTCTGGTTGCGATTCTGATTTTTGAAAAATTAGATATGCAAAAGTAGCAGTCAAAAGTTTGGGTACACCCATGCAGGCAAGCTGTCCTTTTTTTTAAGCTCTTTTTCCTTATTTTCCACCTTTATGAATAGCAGGCCTGCTAATCCAGCTAAGACCAGCTTACGTAGCTGGCTTCAGGGGGTCTCTGAAGGTCATTTGCTGGATCCCTGAGGACAGTGGGCCAACAGTGGCAGAGCTGGTGGTCCGCTGGCATTTTGCTCAGTGTTTTCCGGGCGGCCCACTGGTGTTTAAGTAGAGTATTAGACAAAATTTCACTTTTCATCTCTCATTTTCCATTTACAGTCCGATTTACTTATTATTTTCTTTAGTTACACTTTGTAAATTCGTTTAGTAAATAATTTTAATCCAGCTCAGCATCAACAATAACATTTTCTGTGAAATCATTTCATATCGGGCCTAGTCATTATTTTTTCTCTCTCAGTTGTTTATAATATTTGTCTTCTTTATTTTCTTTATTTTCCAAAATAAAAGTCCCTGTGCATTTAAAATCTGTTTGAGGAGATAAAAACTAATTTGAGCTTGTATGCAGGACAGTAATCTATGCTGCTATCTGGGATTCTTGCTGGTCTAAAATGGTCAAGGTGGTCGATCAGCTGAAAACGACTTAGCAGGACGACATTTAAAGGTGAAAATATATCCAACATCATTACAAACATGCGTTCAATCAGATATCTCCAAACGTCTGACTGCTGCTGTAGCTCAGACAGAAAGCCTTTTTTCCCCCAAAACGTGCCTGGCTAAAGAAATGGCATCCATGTGGTCTTCTAAATCTCCCACCCAACACGTAGAAACAGACACCACTACACAGACTGGAGCACAGACATTTGGAGCAGCTACTCATGGAGTTGATGAGACAATAAAACAGTACCTTCCGTCTCCACCGAGCCAGCCGCTGAGCTGACCAGGTGGATTACTGTCACTAGGGAGGCTTTGGGAGGGGGAGGGGGAGTTGGGGGGAGGGCAGATGAGAGAGAGCTAACGTTAGTGCTGAAAACATCTTACGGAACGAGAGAAGAACCACAGGAGTCAAAATGGCCGTGAGGGAAAGGGGATTGACGTCAAAGTCACAGGACTGTTTTCACCACAATTACACACCTCGGTTTGGGACTCAGTCACACAGACGAAGTGGAGGGTAAACAAAGAAACGACAAAGACAAGCACTTTTCAAACCTTTCGCAGCTCAAAGGAAGAGCTCGGTTCAAAAAAGCGTACACAGTTTCTCCTTCACCACACGTATAATCAGCCAAGACACGTTTGCTTCTTTAGTTCTGCACTGGAGCTACGAGGCTAATGCAGCCAACAGCTAATGGAAGCTTATTCAGCAATTAGCACCGTGCTAACCGCATGTCTAAATCATCACACACTCGCCTCAAACCATGTTTTTGAGTAATCTCGCCATATTATTATCCTAAAAATGGATAAAATGCATATAGCAAAGCTAAAAACAGTAGCAGCCAGGTCGGCAGGTCTATACTTAACAGCCCAACACAGTTTAAGGCGATGCTAATGCACAATGCTAACTGTTAGGGCACTAGCTCCCACTACCTGTTAGCTACATCCCTGATAGCAAGAGGATAGTGTCGGCCCACTGATGGCAAAGCTGGTGGTCCACTGGCGTTTTGCTCAGCGTTTTCCAGGTGGAAAAAGGCAGAACAATAGGCAAAATTTCATATATCATCGCTCATTTTCCACTCACAGTCCAATTTACTGATTTTTCCTTCTTTCTTTTTTAGTTATACTTTATAAATTAGTAAATAATTTTAATCCAGCTCAGTGTCAGCAACATTTTCTATGAAATCATTTCATATCAGGCCTAGTCATTATTTTTTTCTCTCAGCTATTTGTAATATTTGTCTTTTATTTTGCTTATTTTCTAAAATAAAAGTCCCTGTGCATTTAAAATCTGTTTGAGGAGATGAAAAACTAGGTAGAGTTTGTATGCAGGACTGTAATCTGGGTGGTCCGAGGGTGGACCAGCAGTGGCAAACGGTCAGTGGGGTGCTGACCTTATCAAGCCAGTGGACCGATATATGCTGCTATCTGGGATTAGCCTCGTGGCTCCAGTGCAAAACTATAGAAGCAAACTTCTGGCACCAAACCTGTTTTAGCTGAGTGGCTCCATTTTGTTAAGGGGGAAAACCTAATTTGGATTTTTTTAAACGACTCTTCTTCTTTTAAACTTTTCACTGAAAGTGATGATGAGAGAAACATTTAACATTTGTTGTGCTGTAACAGGTTTTGGGAAAAGCAGCCCTGTCTGGCTTTAAGAACCTTCAAAGGTTTGGCTGCAGACGTTTCAGTCTAAAATAGGGGACGCTGAGGAAGATTTAATTATAGACGATAAAGAGAACCCAGCAAAGGGACGTCTGTCTTCTAAAATTACTGTTCCAATGTCTCGCAAAGCCACAATGCTACTTTTAGTTCTGTACTGTAGCCATAAGGCTAATGTAGACAAGAAATGGATGCTCATGTATAGCAATTTGCTTTGTTAGCATGTCTTATCATCTCACACTCGTCTCAAACTGCGTCGAGTTGTAAGAAAATCAAAAAACAGACTTGCTTTTATGTCTTTTGCCGTTGTATGATAAACTGTTATCTATAAACAGACAAAATGCAGTCTTCTACATGGAGGCTACATCAGTTTTTAGCAATGCTACATTCTTTTATGCAATTTAATAGACAGTAGCATGTCTTACAGTGTCAGAAACCACATGAGCAGTTAGTCAGACATGACCTAACAACTCCACACAGTTTAAGGCCAGTGTGACAGTTTGTGGGACACAGCCTTAACGTTAGCTACATTAGCCTTGAAGCTCCAGAGCAATACTTAAGAAGCAAACATGCCTTGGCTGACTGACTACATCTGGGCTAAAAGGGGAATTTGTGTATTATTTTTCACCAAACTATTCATTTGAGGTCTGCACAAGCTCAATGAGGTGCCAGTGCCCTACGTTTGACAGTCCTGTGGGCTTCAACAGGACGCTGAGGGGGCTAATCCGTACACGGTTTCGGGGGTAAAATGGTGGAGCAGTGGCGTGGAGTGGAGATTCTTGTGCTCATGATGGGGACAAACACACCAATAACAACACTGCGGAGATGCTGAGGGGTGCCACTGATAGCACGGTGGGGACTGAAGGAAGGATCTGGAGAATTCTCAAGGATAAAAGAAAGAAAAGAAAAGGAAAGAAAAGAAATAAGTATGTCCGGCCCCAGGCAGAAACGGAAAAGGAGCAGCGGAGCTGGAAGCCGCAGAAAATGAGATTTGCGCAGTTCTGAAGGGCTTCATACATTCCAGTGATTCCAGACAGAGGTTAGATTCTTCAAATGAACACTAAACATATCACTGTATCACAGTTTGACCCGTCCAGGCTCTGCACACATCTGCATTCCACTGTAGTTACTGTTGCTCGGTTGGACAAAGTTTACAGAACGATGGCAAAAGCTTTTAAAATACCTGAATTATTTACAACAAACAACTACAAAGTCAGATTCACTACACAACGCTGAGTTTTCAGTTTAAAATGCTACTGCTGAGCTGGGCTGTGCTGTTGTAGCTAATCAAACCTACGCAACAAATTTGCCACCACCATGCTAGCTCAATTTAATCTATCCTAACAGTGAGTGCGTTTACATGCACTTAATAATCCGATAACTTCAGAAAATCAGATTTTGTCAGTGATCAGATTTCTGCTTTGCAACCAGCCAATAAACTCAGAGAAGAAGACGTGACGTAAACGTAACGTAAAACTCCCACAGCTTTTTTATAAAAATATTGCGGCACTTCTTGAAAAATGAACATAAATCTTCATTCTAGAAGATTTAAATCCTTCATTTCGTCAAGTATGTATTTGGTTTCAGTGAAGCTCCAAAAATGTTTTGCTGCGTCTCACGTCTGATTCACACATGCGCAGACTGAGAAAAACGAAAGAAATCAGAGTAAGAGTTCACATGCACTGAGAAATCTGATTACTGAGCTAAAATCCAGCTCCGGATTTCTTAACTGGATTTCTAGACCTTAAACCAATATAAGAAATCAGAGTGTGCTGTTTATGTGACCATTTGAATAATCAGATAACTGCAGAAATCTGATTATGATTGGAGTATTGAGTGCATGAAAACACACTCAGTATCTCCTTTCAGATGCATACTAAAAATGTTGACCAAAACTGTAGAAACATAGAATTTTTGCTAACGTTCTGTAAAGCTTCTCCAATCTATCAACAGTGGCCACAGAGGAACACATTTGTGGGCGGGGCACGGGCAGGCCAATCTGGGACAGTTTCTTTAGGGGGGTCAGGTGTGAGAAAAAGCACAGAAAAGGGGCAAAATGAATGGCTTAGAAGGTTAAAGGTGAACATCTGATGATGTAGACAAGGTGGACTTCCTATACCCTTGCTTATTGCTCTCGGCTGAGTTCTTCAACCATCCATTAGCAGCTTTGACTAGACACAACAATAAATCAGTGAAAGACAACAAGCAGAACAGAAAAATGAATGAATCAACCATGTAAATTTGAAAAAAATAATGCAGAGGCCATAAAATCGATAACAAAGCATATCAGTCGTAAAACTCATGGCAAACAGGGGGCATATTCCGTTGGAAGTTCCTTCAAGCAATGAAAAACAAAAGAAAAATGGCCCGAGAAAGACAGAAAAAGGGAGTTTTTCTTTTTTTTATGCATTGAGAATCTCGTAAGGCCTTTGGCGAGGCCACCCCTTCCTTCTCCACATGATTGTGTTGACTTACGAGCAGGCGGCTAGCTAAAACCTTGCTCTGTGTCTTTGGTGGGGTTTGATCCAAATGGGAGCTAAAGTCCCAGTGCAGCGGGTAAAAGAGGGGGAGAGAAACATAACACAGTAACATGACCCATCAAAGCTCAGCTACTCAGTTACAGCCAGAGAAGAAGTGAGAGAAAGAGAGAGAGAGGGTTAGTATGCTAACGCTAGCTATACTGAAATACATGACAAAAGAAGTTCAGTCTGCTTTCTGATGTACGTTAATAAAGTAAACTGCAGGTCTGAATCTGCAATGTAAAGATTATTCATCACTATCGTTTAATATATAAACAAACACACCACCTGAAAATGCTAATGGTGCTAATCTGCGCTAGTTAGCTGATCGAAAATATGTTTGTCAGCCACATCAGCACTTTTGGGTGAACTCTACTCATATTTCTGCCTTAGTTACACTGTCGAGACAAGAATAAGCCAATAATTTCCACATTATTAATAAGACGACCTCATAAAATGTTAGCATAAGCATACAACATGTAGCTAGCGCAGTCAATAACTAGAAGGGGAGCAAACTTTAAATTGGCTTGACAAAGCTGTTGCTATAACATCCCAAGACACTGTTAGACTACTGTCATGGTATGCCAGGTGGTTGCTAAGGTGTTGCTAGGTTATCCCAGGTGGTTGCTAAGATGTCGCTAGTATAAGCAGTGAACAGGATAGCCGTTTATAGCTGTAGCACATCTGATTGGACTCATTTGTTCTTTGTGTGTGTATACATACCGTTATCATCGCAGGATTCGGACTGAAAGGAGCTGAGGGACTGGACCTCAGACATGCTCCCCCTGGTGTTGTAGGGGTGACATGCACTGTCCTCCACTACCTTCTTACTGAGGCACGGGTCCAGATCCACTACTTTAGCTGCAAGTATACCAGGCAGAGACACATATATGGTTAGAAAGCTTCAAAGCAAGAAGGTAAAGCTAAAACTTAATTAAATATGATTAAAATATTAGAAAAACAATACATGGACTACCTCTAAAAAAAGTGAAACAATTCTCTTTAGTCCAATGTGTGCTCGGTAACACTTTTCTATAGGGTGCTGTTCATAAAGCTACATGACACCTACATGAGGTTGTCATTACAATGGACATAACCCTACATAACTGTTTATAAATGCTTATTACAACAGGCGTCATCTGTCATTAAGGCTACTTTAGCTGATTTTGATCAAAATTGGCCAATGTAACCTTTATAGCAAATGACGCTTATTGGAACAAGCATTTATAAACAGTTATGTAGGGTTATGTCAGTTGTCATGTTGCCTTATGAACAGCACCCTACAGTAAAGTGTTACCGTGTGCTCTCCTGTACCATTCTTCAATGACGTGTTCAAACAGCAACAATGTTGCCAGATTGGGTGAGATCACCCAGATTACCAATGTATGCTACTCACTATGCAATATTTACTATTATTACTTTAATATTATAAATACATAATCTACAGCTACAAAAACAGTCTTGGACCACTTTTGTGGAAAAGGGTGTAACGATTCATGGTATCATGGTAAAAACTAAAAAATGTATATTTGTAGCCGACTAAGAATATTGTAAAACTGTATCTCGTACAGTCAATGATGAAAAACTAGGCTTCTGGGTGGGTTCTAGTTAAGTATGAGGAAAGGGGCGTAGCTTATGCTATGGGCACGCCCACACTTAACTGAGAGCTTACAGACTCTCAGGTTTGTGATTTTTGGAGTATATTTGTTAGGGAGTGATGCAGCTTTGAAAGTTCTACTTGAGAACTTTGTACACTCTTAGCAAAAAGGGTTCTATATAGTACCAAAAAAGGGTTCTTTGGCTTGTAACAATAGTGGAACCTTTTTAGTGCTCTATAGAACCCTTTTCAACCAGAAAAAGGACCATCTACAGCACATTCTCCATCAATCTGAAGAACTCTTTCATGATGCAAAGAACCCTTAAGTCATGCAAAGCATTCTTTAAGTGTTGATGGTTCCGTATAGAGCCATTTTCTTGACAAAAGAACCCTTGAAGGCCCATCTTTTTTAAGAGAGTAGTCTATTATTAGAGCTCTAATAAAATATAGAGAATCAAGTTGAATCTTAACCTCAGGATGAAAAAACTGTATTGAACCCAGGACTACATGTATCATTACACCCCTAACAGACAGCTAAGTGTAAAAGTGAGCGTCTTTCTTTACCATCGTAGTCGTAGTCCCAGCTGGGCTTCTGGATGGAGTCACTGTCCGAGACAGAGTTGGATGGTGGTGGTGGGGGCAGGTTTGGGGCGACGCTGCACACGGCCACGGTCTTGCGGTGCCCATGGATAGAGTCTGGGTTAAACGTGCTGAACTCAGGGTGCTCGGGAATGGCCGAGCCCTCGAACGAGTTCCGGTCCAGGTTGTTCCGAGAGTCGCTGGGAATGCTGGGGGTATACGAGATGGGCCGCACGGGCACCTGTGGCGGCACGTCCGAGTAAATGTTCTTGCTGGGCTTGGTGTCAAAGTACGGCCGATGGAGGAAGGAATGAGGGCCGGAGCCTCCTAAACGTTTAGTGCTGTCGTCTGGGGACATGTCGGATTTGGAGCGCCGGCATGCACGCTTGCGGATCAGCACGAAGAGCAGAACCATGAGGAAAATGCCGACGACGAAGACAGCGATGCCGATGACCTCCTCCAGGCCGATGTTCCAGGATGTGGAGATGAAGTCGTTGCGGACTTCGGCGCGAAGCTCACATTGGCGCCCCCCGAAGCCCAGCGAGCAGTTACAGCTGAAGGAGCCGTACGTGTTGTGGCACTGACCTCCATTAGAGCACGGGTTCTTCATACACTCGTCCACGTCACTCAAACACCTGAGGACAAAAAGGCACAGTTGCCATATGTATATAGGCAAAAGACATATCTGTAAGGGCTGAAGCTCTGCTGCAGCGCACTGTGTGTTGCTATGATAGAGTCTGTAATTGTAGCCCTCTTGTTCATTCAGCATTTAAATGCTTTTAAAGTGATACCTTCAGGACCTGCAGCAGACTACGCTGGACAGTGCTCGCAGGAGACCCACTGATAAATCAACGAGCAGCAAACTAACACACAGATGCTGCCTTTTAGACGCCGTCTTTTTCAGGGAGATCCATGTGATTGCACAGCTGAAGACTTGTACAACTAAAGAACGGCAAAAAATTTCTTCCAAAACTGGATGAACTGGTGTCTTTAGTCCGCAAACGCTTAGTAAGTGTTGTTCAAAGGGAACATGGTGTAACACAGTGGTAAACATGCTCCTGCCCTAATGTGTTTGGAATATGTTGCAGGCATCAAATTGCTGCTGTTGGAACAAAACCTTTTATCCCTATTTTCGTCGTTTTTTAGTTTTTTACATAATTTGAAAATTCCTATAGTCCTTTACATCAAAATTTACTTGGAACAAAGTCTGGTTCCATTGACTTACATCAAAAGTAAAATATGTTTTTTCCTTCTTTTCCTCCTGTAAAGTTACCATTTTGGACAGCAGCAAAATTTAGAAGGAGACTATATATTTTCACAAATGTAGAAACATTTTACATTCTGTTTTATCTGTCAGCTAAAACAACAATCTGCTACAACACTTGCAAGTTTTATAGCCCTAAATTTTCCAAAAGATTCCAGCCCTGCAACTACAGATCTGACGCCACCAGGTCTCTTTAGGTATAAAGCTCAGAATGTCACCCATCCTATATCACTCAGAAGCCCGTAATGCCTGCAGTGTTTGCTCTTTTTACACGGTAATCCTGTCGTACCTGTCGCCTTGGAAACCGGGCTCACATTCGCACACCGGGCCATCTAAGCTGTCGATGCAGCGGCCGCTGTTCTTACAGGGGTTCTCCGTACAGTACGGACCCAGCTGACACCTGAAGCACAAACAGAGAGGAGCGTTTAGACATGCAAGAACAAGAAATATGATAGAGTGAACAGTGAAGTCCAGAAATATCTTCGCAAACTTTTGTTCTTTCTAACACGAAACACTGCCAGCAACTAAGACTGGCTAGTTGAGTCAGTGTTGTTCTTTACTGATCTATTCATACTCGGACACAAACACATCCTTTCATAGCCACTGCTGTAAGGTTTAACCTGCTCTACAGAATCTTCAATATGAAGAAAAACTGTACTTTATAAAGAATTCCTCTCTTTTTTATATGTCTTTTTGTTTTCCAGGGCTGTTGAAGTGATCATATTTGTGTATGTGTGTTCTCACCGTTGGCCGGAGTACTGTCCTCGGCACTGGCAGTAGAAGTCGTCTCCGCGAGGGACACAGGTTCCTCCATACAGGCAGGGGTTTGAGGAGCAGGGGCTGATACTGACCTCACAGTGAGTGCCCATAAACAGAGCACTGCACTTACAGAAATAACCTACAGCAACAACACAGCAATAAGTCACATCATATACTTAATATATAATAAATAATAAAAAAAAATTAAATAATGTACTTTCATTCATATAATAATAATAAGAAGAAGAAGAAAAAGAAGAAGAAGACGAAGAAGAAGAAAACACAAATATATAAATTATGAACTGAGAAAATAAGTAATAATAATACTAAAAAACAAATAACATATGAGAAATATGTATATATAATAATAAAAAATAGAAGAAAAATAAAATACAATCAAATAATCTACTAATGAATAAAAAACAATAATAAATAATAAAATAAAATAAAAATAAAAATTCCTATAAATACAATCAAAACCATATATAGAATCTACTAAAGTATGGCAAAAAAATTTAATCAAATATAGTTTTATAAATGTTACTATCAAATGTCTTTCACTGTTATAGCTTAAAAAACAATTCATTTGAAAACAACAGCAATAATAATAATAATAATAATAATAATAAGTGGAAAATGATATAAATCATTACGTACCTCCGTTGGGCAGTTCCGTGCAGGTCCCTCCATTGCTGCAGGGGTTACTAGTGCAGACGGGGGCTGGAGGTGGGAGGCTGCAGCCGGGAGCTGCCTCCACCAGCTCCTCCAGCACGCCGTGGGCCCCACGGGGCTGCTGCCTCAGAGGCAGATCCCGGCCGTTCAGCACGATGGCCTCCAGGCAGCCACGCAGGCCGCCGGTCACAGGCAGGCTCCGCCCCAGCCGGCCGCCACTGCCCCCCACAGACCGACCTCCACGGCCCCCGAAGAACACGCTGGTGTCCAGGTTGAGGGTGCGCAGGTTCCCTGGGGCTTTCCCCGAGGCGGCATGGACACCATCCAGCACAAGCCGGGCGTAATTACCGTCCACCTCCAGAGACACGGAGTGCCACTCGCCATCACTGACCAGCGGGCTGTGGACAGACACCACGCCGGGACCACTGCCGCAGTCAAACTTGTACTGAAGACGCCCGTTCACTATCTGTGAGAAACAGACGTGCAGATGCAGAGCAGGTGAAAACAACGAAGGTGTAGTCTGTGCTTATTAACCAGAACACAAGGCCTGGGTGATCAAAGTCAGACACTCATTTGACACTAATAATGTGTGTTTGAAGAGTTCACAATAAAATTATGTTCCTGTTCTGTTTTTCTGTTTGATATTAGCAGTTTTGAAAGTGGATATTTGCACATTTTACTTACTAAACAGGGAGAAGGAAGAAGTCTAGCCATTCACTTACAACAGCACAAACCAAACTGAGTTCTTTCATTGAATTATATCATAGATTTCAATAAGTTAAAACATCATGTTTCCACGCACTCCAACCAGAGTTTGCCCTATTTGGAAAATGTTGGAAATGTTGTTTACTTTGTTGCTGCTCTCAGCAACCTGATTATATATATCTATTCTCTTTTTATACTTTCAATTATTTATACTATATTCAATAAAGACATATTTATTTTTTTGTTTTATTCATTCATTCATTTTTTGTTCGATTATTATCCTTCTTCTCAGTTGCACCTGAAAGTTTTAATTACCCAAATATATAATGTAGTTATGTTAAAACTGAAGTTTTGCACGGCTGAAACCCCTCCTTCCAATCTAGCGCCCTATAAATTCACATCCTCCTCTTCCGTTACTGTGACGAAGGGTTCACAATCCCCTCCACCACCCCATCTCCTCCCTGTTTCTCAGTCCTACATCAGTCCTACTACAGCTATGAGGGGGTCTGACCTTCTAGCTACAGGCAGAAGCTGCCCAGAACTCCAGCCCAAGTCCTCAGAGTTCTCCCCCCTCCCTCAATCAGTCTGCCCTCATACTACCACCACCATGTTGAAGGCATGGTCTGAACTCACAAATATATATGTGATAAGCACAATAAGCAAAGCTTGGGGGAAAAAGAAATATACTGTATGTATCTTTATCTAAAATATTACTTGTATGTGTTTGTCTTTTCTTGTGTTCTTGTGTGTTTAATATTTTCAAAGGCTAAATGATTTATGTGTGTGTGTGTGTGTGTGTGTGTGTGTGTGTGTGTGTGATTCTCACAGACTAAATAAAATGTGTGTGTGTGTGTGTGTGTGTGGGCAGAAATAGCAGGGTGCTGTAATGATGATATAATAACAGATAGCGTTTTTCTCTCTCTCTCTCTCTCTCTCTCTCTCTCTCTCTCTCTCTCTCTCTCTCTCTCTCTGTGAGAAAGCTGTGTCCCTGTCACTCCCAGCACCAAAATAACCCTCTCTCTCTTTTCTGATGGACTGAGACAGAGAGGCTCTCAAGGCCTCTGTATGCAGGATGGGATGGACAGAGTGTGGGAAAAAAGAAACTGGGAGTGAGAGCAGATCGTCCCCCTAGAGTTAAGTAATTTATAAATATGATGCATTTTAATCTAATATAAACTGTTGTCTCCTGTTTCTGCTCTCACTGTTAGAACTTCTGAAGACAAACATGTCAAATGCAGGTCCCCTTGAGAAAAAGTTTAAACTTTTATGCTCCTATCGCTGAGTTTTCTGTCACTGTGTATTCGTATTTAAAGCACATTAAGAGCTGTACCGATTGTATCTAAGGAGTAATGATATGGAATGTGTTAGGATCTGATTAGCTTTGTAATCTGTGTAATTTCCCCAAAATCAGATTCATACTGGATTAAAATCACCCCACAGTTATTACTGTTAGACTGCCAAAACTACACACACACACTGCAGATCCATACCTGAATAAAATCACCCCACAGTTATTATAGACAGACTAAAAACTACACACACTGTAGATTCATACTGGATTAAAATCATTCAATGATTATTAACGTCTGTAGATTCATACTGGATTAGAATCACTCAATGATTATTAATGTCTGTAGATTCAGACTGGATTAAAATCATTCAATGATTATTAATGTCTGTAGATTCATACTGGATTAAAAATCACTCAATGATTATTACTGTCTGTAGATTCATACTGGATTAAAATCACTCCACAGGTACCTGGATTAAAATGTTTCTCACCTCCAGGATGCTGTAGTCCGTGCCTTTGGCGTACATGATGGTGGCGTGATCAGAGAAAGTGCGGAGTCTGAGAGAGAGATTCATCTCCTCTTTATTTTCATTCTCCATCAGTCTGTAGCGGGCATAGCCGTTACCACTGAACGTCAGAGCCTGGCCTTCTGGGGAGAGAGAGAGAGAGAGAGAGAGAGAGAGAGAGAGAGAGAGAGAGAGAGAGAGAGAGAGATGGTGATATATTCAGCGAGTGGATGTTCATTAATATATAGTGAACACTCAGCACTCCTGTCCTGCACATTTCAGTGCTTCCTCAGTTCTAACACATCTGATCCAACATCAAGAGCCTGTTTATGAGCTGACTAGCTGCACCAAGAGCCACGTTTACAGCTGCTGCAGCAGTTTTGAAAAGTATTGATGAGGAGAACATTTATCTACTATTTTATTCATACATTCTGCTACTTTTGTGATCCTGAAACTTTAGTAAACCCACTTCAAGCACCAAAATCATTCGTCCACATGAGCAAAACTGTGTTTCCACAAGAGATATTAAAAATGTCTAAAACCAGATTTCAGTTTTTTAGCTTAAGTGCTGAACAATCTTTTTACAGAGTGTTTTGGGTCAAAACGACCTCATTATCAAGAGCGCTGAGATTGTCCTGTATATTTTGATATATAACGTGGGCATCATCTCACATGCCTGAGCCTTTAAAGACGCATTTAAGAATATATGCAAAAATCAAGAAAACGCCCTCAGACTTTCTTCCCAGCTTCCTTTGCATGAGCACAGGTGAGCGTTCTTACCTGAACACTGTCCTGATTTCTTGTCTGAGCACACACAGCTGAACTTGGTGTGTGTGGGGTCTTCCACACACTCCATACCCTCAGGACACGGATTCCCCACACACAGCTTACTGAACACTGAACACTCAGCACCTACAAACACACAGAGACCAGCGGTTACTACAAACTCAACTGACCACATTTATCTTATTAATACAGGACGTACTCATAAACAGAGATCATCTAAACACAGCGCCAGAAAGAGACCACAGACCCCCCATACGTACCCTCACAGAGACACCTGGCCGTGCGAATGTGTCGTGGTGTGATGAAGCTGACTCTCGCCGTGCTGTAGGTGGACGCCGCCCCCGTCTCCAAGGTGACTGTCTCCTGGCAATGGGAACGGACATCATTAGGATTTTAATAACACAGTACTGCTCACTGATTCGATCTTTATAAGACGCTAAAGTTCATTAAAATCAATATCAGCACCAAAGAAAAATTTTATATGAAAATGTTAATACTTGGCCGATGTTAAAGTTCTGCCACCGATTCCGATTATATCAGTACTAAAAACTATATCAGACGATATTTTCAGTTATCAGAATTTTAACCTCCTTAAAACGGATATCAAACACCAATTTTAATATCAGTCAAGTTCTTTATGTGTGTAAATATTGAGGCTTGACCTATATGAACATTTTAGCACCAAAACTGATTCAGTTCTCAGCCCCCTAAAATTCATATCAGTTGAGTTGTTTATGTACATAAATATTAAGGCTCGACCGATAGGAAAATTTTGTCACAAATATCAGTGATATTGGTACTTAAAATTATATTGCACAACATTGTCAGTTACTAGATTTTTTAACTTTTTAAAAGTAATATCAGCAAAATTTTATATCAGCCGATATCATCAGTTATCAGAATTTTTAGCTCCTTAAAACTCAAATCAGTAGCAAAAATTTAATATCAATCAAGTTCTTTATGTATGTAAATATTGAGGCTTGACCAATATGAACATTGAAGCATCAGAACGGACTCAGTTTTCATACGGCTCCTCAAATTACACTAGCTAATATCAGTTTTCAGAATTTTTAGCCTCCTAAAACTGATATCAGTGACAGGTTTTCATATCAGTTGAGCTGTTTATGTATGTGAATATTAAGGCTCGACCGATATGAATTGAAATTATATTGTACAACATTATCAGTTATTAGAATTTTTAGCTTTTTAAAAGCAATATTAGTATCAGAGACAGAATTTTAGCATTAGTATTATACCAGCCAATATTATCAGTTATTAAAACTCATATTAGTAGCAAAAAATTCATATCAATCAAGTTCCTCATGTATCTAAATATTAAGGCTTGTCACTGATACTGATTTTATCGTTACTTATAATTATATTGCTTAGCTCCTTATAATTGTTATCAGTGATAAATCAGATTTAAGAATAATATAATTGGTAATATAAGCAGACTTAATTAATCAAATATTGATATAATATAATTAGAAAACACTGGGGGGCATCCCTACCTGACAGTAGCTAAGTGGGCAGTCCAGTCCGGCGCAGAGTTTTTTGGCCACGCGGACGATCCGCACACCGGTCATCTCTTCAATCGCACCGGCTGAGGAATTCAGCTTCCTGTACACCACTTCCTGTGGCTGGTAGGGACTTCCAGACTTCTCCAGGGCCAGGAGGACCTCCAGGTCTCCGGAGGCGTCAGCGGCCGGCTGGAGGCTGACCAGCTGGACGTCCGCCCTCCTGACACCAGCGATGTTGCGTAATGCACGCAGGAAGTTCCTCCAGTAGTCTCCGATGAACTCCTCTGGGGCTATAGCAGCGAATCGGACGCCGATGGAGTTCTCCAGCATGTGGGCGGCGGCCCGGCGCACGTGGACGCTGACACGTGCAGCCGACGTGAAGCGGCCGTCTGTCACCGTGGCGTTCAGCGTGTACTGGCCGCCGTCCAGGCCAGAGAGAGCCACCAGCTTGCCGTCGGTGGGGGAGACGGAGAAGAGAGGGGTGGAGCTTGGAGAGGAGGGGGTGGAGCTATCAGGCGCGAGGCTGTAGGTCAACGTGTCGTAGATGTCCTGGTCGGTGGCGTGGATCTTGCCCAGGACGCCGCCTGGGTATTCGTCGGTTGCTGTGGTGATGAAGACGTCCAGCGGCAGGACGGCCGGAGGGTGGACGCTCTCCTCAACCAGACGGACGCTTATGAACACAGAGGAGGACAGAGGAGGACGACCGCTGTCCGAAACCTGAGAGAAAGAGAGGGAGAGAGAGTCTGATTCACGATTCAGAATCACCACACAGTCACTTAACAAATGAGTGCAGTCAGTAAAAAGAGTCGAGATTCAGAATCACTCGTTCAACTTTTGGTTTGGAAAAAACTCAAATAAACACAATTTGTACAAAAATTTACGTTAAATGTTGTGTAAAATATCATTTTTGGGTAAAAAAATAAAATACAAAAATCTAAAAATGGTAATAAGTACAGACGGAATTCAGACCAGTGGCATTATCCTCCCAGCTAATGTAAAACTGGGACATTAAACATGTTTTGGCAGTTTGACGCTTTAAATAAAATGGGAATTTTATTTATTTATTTTTAATTTAAATGGTTAAGATGTAAACAGAGTCGTTCAGAGTGGTTTGGTGTGAAACGCTCTGTTCTAGAGAAACTTACTGAGTCAGAACTGTTCACAGTGGTGGTGATAGGAACCAGACGTCCACCTCTAAAAGCTCCCTCACAGAAAGTTACTACATGAAATGGTTATTAAATCCATTCATGCAGGGTGTTGTGAGGAAAAATAGTCTCCAATGAAGATGTATCAGTATTTTACCGTCATCAACATCACATATAAAACCTCAGAAGACTCGTGTAGGTTCACTGGTGGTTTTGATAGTAAATAAAATGTCTATATTTGCGTTGTAGTCATGGCGACCCCTGGTTCCTATCACCACCACTGTATGAGATCTGAGTCAGTAAGTTTCTCTACAATGAACCGTTTCACATCAAACCACTCTGAGTCACTTTGTTTACATCTCAACTTATTCCTGTTGATTTTTTTAAAAATCAGTGGAATTCCTTCATGATTACCACGTCCTGTTCATTAACGGCGGTGAGTGTTTCGTTTGTGGCCAGCGGAGGGAGCCCTCGAGCTTTTATTACTGAAACACGAGACTGCCAAGTAATGTTTGTAGCAGATTAGCAGCAATAATCATTAGAGAACGGATCATTACAGCTCTCAGCAGCAGCGGAACATCAGTATCAGTGAGCACCGAGGGAACGACAAGCGAGAAAAAAGAACCGAACACATCAGCAGTTTAGAACTCTGCTACAAACACCGCAGTCCTGCTGCTGGTTCCCGAACGAGAGAAGGAGAAAGAGAGAGAGAGGAAAAAAGAGAGAGACATAAAGAAAGAGAGAGGCAAAGGAGACAAAGAAAGACAGAGAGTGAGAGACAATCAGAGAAAGAAAGAGAGAGAGAGAGAGAGAGAGTCACTACCACACACACATCTCTCTCTCTCTCTCTCCCTCCTCTTTTTTACCCTGAGGCTCACCCGGGTCTGCAGTAGATAGTGATCTCTTGTCCGGCGGCTCAGGGTTGCCGTGGAGACCAGCGTGCCCTGCGGTGTGATGTGGAAGGCGTTGTTCTCATCGCCGCTGACGATGTTGAAGTTGAAGGGTGGGCCGTTGTGGGAGGCGTCCCGGTCAGACACGGTCAGCTGGAGGATGCTGGTGCCCACTGGGCGGTTCTCCTGCAGGAACCACATCGAGAACAGCATTAAGCACATGTACCCAAGATCTAGACTGGAACATTCCCATCCAATAGAGCACCGACCAACTGCATGTTTCATCACAAAGAGCTCATAATTATCCTGCTTAATTACTAAATATGTTGATTCTACATCGCTCTGACCTGTATGATGATGCTGTAGTTGCTCTGGGAGAAGACCGGTGGGTTGTCGTTGACGTCCGAGACGTCGATGTTGATGGTGGCGCTGCTGGAGCGGACTGGACTTCCGCCATCGGACGCCATCACGGTCAGAGTGTATCCAGACGTCTTTACAGTAAAACATCATATTTGTTATTACTGACACCCTTGAACTGACATTGCAGTACATAACAGTGGTGTATTGTTATGCATCACACTAATAATAACAACAATAATAATCTTTATTTGCAAAGCACCTCTCATACATTAAAAACGCAGCTCACAGTGCTTCACAATACAAAGCTGGAATAACAGAGGAGGCAGAGAAAAAACTAAAAAATGTAAAATAATAAAACATGCAACAAATAAAAGCACTAATTAAAATTAAAATGCACAAGCTAAAAGCATTAAAATTACTGTGATGTACTGTATTGTGATGATCATACTGTGATGAGAACCATATTGTGATGCATCATATTATGGTGTACTGTATTGGGAGTATATTACTGTAATGAGTATTGCTTTTGATGCTTTGTAATGCATTGTAATAATTATAATGTGATGAGTATCATATATCTGCGTACTGTATTGTGATGATTGTACTATAATGTATACTGTATTGTGATTATTATACTATAACACGTACTGTATTGTGATTATTGAACTATAATGCATACTGTATTGTGATGATTGTACTATAATGTATACTGTATTGTGATGATTGTACTATAACGTATACTGTATTATGATTACGGTCCCATAATACATGCTGTATTGTGATTATTGTACTATAATGCATGCTGTATTGTGGTATATTGTGTTGTGGTGTACTATATCATGATTACTGTAACGTGATTAGTACTTTATTGCGATGTAGTGTGAACTGTATCATGGCGAGTATCATATTGTCGTGTTATTTTGTATTATTGTGCTATTTTGTATTATTGTATACTGAACTGAATGTACTGTGATATATCATATTTTGAGGTGCTCTATTGTGATCATGCTGTGGTACCATATTGTGATATATTGTGTTATTATTATGAGTATTGTGGAATTATAACCCCACTGTGATGTACTGTGGTGCACTGTGCTGTGATTATCATACTGTGATTTGAGCTGTATTGTGATATTTCACATTATTATGAGTACTGTTGTTGTGATTATCATACAGTGATGAGACCTGCGATGAGTACCATATTGTAATGACTATCGTGATATACTGTATTGTGTGTAGTGTCGTATTGTAGGCTAGTATTGTACTATAGGCTAACAAACCATAGCCAGTATTGGGAACTGGACGTGTTTGGCAGTTTTCTTTGTGTGTTTTCCCAACCTTTTCTCTGTCTAGATGACGGGCCACCTTGACCTCTCCTTTCAGCGGGTCGATGGTGAATGGACTGCCTTGGTTGCCGTCGACGATGGAGTAGCGCACCTGGTTGTTGGAGGGTCCGTCTGCGTCATCAGCTACGACCTTCAAACATACACACACCTGCTTTAGTCGACCTGCCAAGGCTCATTTGTACCAGCCTGTAAATACTAGTGTGAGGAACTGTGTGTATTCATCCCCTTGTGGGGACCAAATACCCCAGGACGATAAAAACATGTACATTAGGGGTTAGGGGGCAACTTCTCTCTCCAAAAACTGCGGCTTTTGGTAAGAAAAAATTAACGTGTCTGTGTCCTGAGAGACTCACGGTCAGTATGGTCTTTCCCAGCTCTGCGTCCTCACTGACCACGGCGGCGTACACAGCCTGGCCGAACACCGGACTGTTGTCGTTTACGTCAGTGACGTTGATGTTGACGGTGGCCATGTCGCTCAGCGCCGGTGTCCCTCCGTCTGTGGCCTCCACCGTCAGATAAAACTCGTGAGAGGATTCATAATCCAAGGGCTCAATCACAAAGATGCCACCTACAGATGGGAAAAACATTATTAGAATTAATTAATTAATACCAATATTTCACAGTCAAATTGCTTTTGGGCATTTGCTAGTTGGTGGTGTATCAGCTTCCATTACACATTGGCTACATTAGCCTTGTAACTGCAGCACAACGCTAAAAAAGCTGTGATTTCTGATGCAAATACATAAGTAAACGAAGTGAATTCTCTCTGCTGACCAGTGCGTGGGTCCACGCTGAAGGCCCCTCTCTCGTTGCCGTTGACGATGCTGTAGGTGATGTGGTCCCCGGACTCGGCGTCCCGGCTCAGCGCCTGCACCCGCAGCACCTGCGTTCCCACGGTAACGTCCTCGGGGACGGTGGCGGCGTACTCGCGGTGCTGGAACACCGGCGGGTCGTGGTTGATGTCCAGCACGGAGACGGAGACGGTGCAGGTGGAGGAGAGCGGGCGGGGCGAGCCGCGGTCAGACACGCGAGCGCGGAGCGTGTAGGAGGAGCGGAGTTCGCGGTCCAGAGCGGAGTCCAGAAACAAGACACCAGAAACCTCATCCACAGAAAACGATCCGTCAGCAGAGTCCAGCAGAGAGAAGAACAGAGCAGCATTGGAGCCTGAGAGGAAACAGATACAGACACATTAGTGTAAACATAATTTGTAGCTTGTACAGCCCCAGAATGGGACGCTCTGGAGCTGCTGCACGTGAGCCTAAGGTCACTGTGAACAATGCCAGTGGGCTAGAGGGGTTTAAAGCACCCAGCTTTGGGCTGTGGAGCAGTGGATCTGCGTTCTCTGGAGTGATGGAGTGGAATGATCCAGAACCATCAGCACCTGACCTCACTAATGCTCTTCTGCCTATTGTGCTGTTACCTATTACCTATTTCAGAACGGCAGGTGTTATTATTTATTGCTGACACTGAAAAATGAATAACTTGTACTAGATGGTAGTTTTGACTGGAAATGAAGGGCAGGGTGGTCTCTGACTTCGGCACAGTCCTATATGTTCCATATGATTACATATGTAAGTATCTACTTGTCCTATGTGTATTAAACATATCGCTGCTGTCGGAACAAAACCTCGTATTGGCATTTTTGTCGTTTTTCAGTTTTTGACATAATTTGAAAACGCCTGTTGCTCTTTACATTGGGTGTGAATTTCATGAAGAACGGGCCAAAAGAAACGGCCCAAAATGACTTGGAAAGACGTCTGGTTCCATTGACTTGCATTAAAAGTAGAGTATGTTTTTTCCTTCTCCTGTAAAGTTACGATTTTGGAGATACGAGGTTTTGTTCCGACACAGCGATATGTAAGTACGCTCTTTAAAAAGACAGTTCTTCAAGGGTTCTTTAATAAAGCAAATGGTTCTATCTAGAACCACGAACACTCAAAGAAACCTGTGCATGATTGATGTGGTCTTTGCATCATGAAAAGGTTCTTCAGATTGATGGAGAATGTGTTGAGTGTGGTTCTGCATAGAACCTTCTTGAAAACATTTCACAACTCAAAGAACACTTTCTTTTCTTTGAGTGTTCATGGTTCCATATAGAACCAATTTCTTTACTAAAGAACCCTTGAAAAACCATCTTTTTTAAGCATGTACCTACATGTAACAACATGTTTCATATCTCTGCTGTCGGAACAAAACCTCGTATCTCCAAAATGGTAACTTTACAGGAGAACGAAAAAACATACTCTACTTTTAATGGAAGTCAATGGAATCAGACTTTTATCCAAGTCATTTTGGGCCGTTTCTTTTGGTCCAATCATCACCAAATTTACACACAACGTAAAGGAAAACAAGCATTTTCACATTATGTCCAAAACTGGTTTTGTTCCAACGGCGGCGATGTGTATTACATATTTATAAGCACAAACAGCAGCACAGTTAGCCTAATACAGACAAAACACGTCTGGCTTTATGAGAAAAGCTTCAAAGTTCTCAAACTAATATCACAGTCAGTGTGTGTGGGTTGAATAATGACTTCATTATTTACCTCTGTCTGTGTTATTGATTTAATACGAGCGCATCACAATGCATAAACACTTCTTCAATATTCATACTGATCGATTCAGACAGAGCGGCGCCACAAATAATCCGAGCGGCTGAAGCTCGGCCGTAGATTGCTGCCGCGCTGAATCCAGCGAATGTACAGCTCATTAAAAACTGCAGTGTGTGTGTGTGAGTGGCTCACTCTTCGCTAATATGAGTAAACAACGTCTCTCATCGCGCAACCAGGCGGAGACGGAGCGGCGCAATCGCCGTAATGCGTTTCTGCAGGTGATTTATTGTTGTGCTGCTTATTATATTCGCATTTAGCAGAGAACCATCTCTCATTACTGACAATAAGCATAATGAGCAGGACCCTCGCGCACTCACACGGCAGCCCCCCTGCGGTCCTCAGCGCTCCCACCCCACCACATTAGCGCTGCGAAACCGGTTAATGGTCGTTAAGCAAATTGAATTGGATGATTTAACGATCTCCTGTTCCACCTCCAGCCGCGGCGCGGACCTCCAGGGGTCCCTCCTGCTGAGAGTTGCGCTTAAGCACTTCTGTATCGGAGGTGTTAGAGTAAATGTGGTGCATCCGCCGCAGTGGAGAACGCAGGCCGGGGTCGGCCGGTAGAACCGCGATACGACGTCTCGCTGAACGTGATTGTGAGAATCAGACTTCGGAGACTGAACTTCAGAGGTGTGGAAAACCTCCCTGCTGATTTCGTTGAAAGGCAGAAAGAGAAAGAGTGGAAGCTGCTGATCTGTTTACTGGCAGGTTGGTCGGCATGACGGCAGCATGATATCTTGAGGTATTTGAAAATGAAGATGTACATCAAAATTGACGGATCGGCAAATTTCTGTTCCACAGTTTATTGTTTAATGAACTGCAGAAATAAACTAGAAAGTCGGCCGATTGTCGACTGTTTTCAAAAACTGAAATGGTTTTGTACAGTAATTTCAGGTTGTTGCTTGGTGATTGTTAGGTTGTTGCTAAGGTGTTGCTAGGTCATTTGCTATGGTACCCCAGGTGGCTGCTAAGGTATTGCCAGGCTGCTGCTATGGTATCCCAGGTGGTTGCTATAATGTTGCTAGGCCACTGACATGTCTTCCAAGGTGGTTGCTAAGGTGATGCTAGGTTGTTGCTATGGAATCCTAGGTGGTTGTTAAGGTGTTGCTAGGCCACCATTACTCAATATCAGGTGGTTGCTAACATGTGCGAGGTCATTTCTATGGTATCCCAGGGTGGCTGCTAAGGTGTTGCTAGGTTGTTGCTATGGTATCCCATGTAGTTGTAAAGGTGTTGTTAGGCCACTACTATGGAACACCAGGTGGTTGCTAACATGTTACTAGGTCATTTCAATGGTATCCCAGGTGGCTGCTAAGGTGTTTCTAGACAGTTGCTATGATTTTCCAAGTGGTTGCTAAGGTATTGTTTGACCATTGCTGTGCTATCCCTGGTGGTTGTTAAGGTGTTGCTAGGTTGCTGCTATGCTATCCTGCGTGGTTGTTGAGGTGCTGCCAGGGCACTGATATGGTATCCCAGGTGGTTGCTAAGGTGTTGCTAGGCTGTTGCTATGGTATCCCAGGTGGTTGTTAAGGTGTTGCTAGGCTGTTGCTGTGGTATCCCAGGTGGTTGTTAAGGTGCTGCTAGGTTGTCGCTATGGTATGCCAGGTGATTGTTAAGGTGTTGCTAGGCTGTTGCTGTGGTATCCCAGGTGGTTGTTAAGGTGCTGCTAGGTTGTTGCTATGGTATGCCAGGTGATTGTTAAGGTGTTGTTAGGCCACTACTATAGTATCCCAGATGGTTGTTAAGGTGTTGTCAGGCTGCTACTATAGAATCCCAGGTGGTTGCTAGACCGTTGCTGTGGTTTCCCAGGTGGTTGCTAAGGTAAAGTGTTTGCATAACTTGGCTACTGCTATGCTATCCCTGGTGGTTGTTAAGGTGTTGCCAAACCACTGCTATCGTATCACAGGTGGTTGCTATGGTGTTGCTAGACTATTCATATGCTATCCCAGATGGTTGCTAAGGTATTCCAGGCGGTTGCTAATATGTGAGTATATGTGCTAATATGTACGAGTCTGTGTTTCACAGAATTTGCAGAATTTTTTTAAAGTAAGTGAAATTCTGTTTTAACTATTCATTTGACTTTCTTTTATTATAAACACGTAAAAAAATAAACGAGGGAAACTGGCTGCTGTTTGGCTGTCCTGTATTAAGCTTGTACTGAGGTTGAGACACACCTTATAAGCTGAGAGTGGGCGGAGCAACACTGCTGTGTGCTGAATTGCTGGATTTTGTGACATCATAAAGCTGTTTTTGCTGCTTAGTTTCCCATATATGGGCTGAATGGACTGAGGTAACTAACTCTTTTACTGATACAGGCATGTTTGAGCCAATCAGGCTGTTGGCAGGAAGGGCTGAAGGAGCTGTTTTTGACAGATGGCCAACAGTTCATATGTTTAATGTTGTAATGCTGAAAATCCACTTTGTTCAAATGAAGTTTCAGCGCTGATGGTTCTTAAGGAGCGGAGAAGGAAGTGAAGGGTGAACAGAGGAAGAGAAACTGGCCTGTATGGACTGTGGTGAGTGGAATTTAGAGCAGGACAAAAACAGAGTGACATTTAGGACATAATAGATCAAGTGATGTGAACAAAGAACAGTAGAAGAGAAGAGTGAAGGGCAGATTCCAGAGTGGAACCAGAGAGAGAGAAACACAGAGAGACAGAACCAAAACATTACATCATTACTGTCGTATTTAAGTTGTATCTTCATTTTTAAGCCATTTGAAAAACTGCTCTTTCCAGACACCTCAGAGTGACGAGCGCATGGTACCTCGCCTTGGTCCAACAGCTGACAGCGGATATCTAGAACTGCTTAGAAGTGAATTTAAAATGTGTCTGTTTGTCGGGATAAAAAAAGGAATTTTCTCGACTCTGTCTCGAATTCCGAAATTCCCAAATTGAACTGTCAGCTTTGGGAAGCTCACCCGTGTCGAGGTCAGTGGCCTGCAGCCGGGCGACCGGAGTGTGTATCTCTGTGTTCTCGAACACGGTGATGCTGTAGGGGTCGGAGGTGAACTGTGGGGCGTTGTCGTTGGCGTCCTCTACCGTGATCTCCACGTCCGCCTCGCAGTAACGTCCACCTCCGTCCACCGCGCGCACCTTCATCCTGTGCAGCTCCTGTTCCTCACGGTCCAGCGGGAGGAGGGTCTTCAGCTCGCCTGGAAAAACACAACCATGAGTGAAGGTCAGATGAGTCCAGCAGGCCTGGACAAACTACATGTTTTGTTGATTTTCTGAGTGTAAATAAGTGAACACATCCTTTTTATACGCACATTTTAAAAACACAATTCCTGTTAATTTACGGAATTTAACATATTGGGGAAAAAATAACACACAAAATGTACCGTGTGCAAAAGTTATGGCACATTTTACATAGTTGTTTAATTTTTTCCCAATATGTTAAACTGAGCGAATGAATACTTCTATTCTCCAGGGTTTTTTAGAGCTGTTTTGGATTCGAGACAGGAATGCTAAAGTTTTCCAAAAGGCTCAGGATGAGGAATTCTTGAAAAGGTATTTCGATCAGTAAAGACCCATCTGCAGTGTGGATACCTAGAGCTGTTTAGAAGTGAACCCACAATACTTAGGTCTGTCTAAAGGCAAAAGTAGAGTTTTCCAAAGCTGTTCCGGATTCTATAAAGGAATTTTAATTTCCAAAGGAATCTTCTGTCAGAAACGAGACATCTAGAGTCTAGTGTAAAACTTTCTAGAAGGGAATCTAGAATGTAGAACTGTTTAGAAGTGAATCTAGAATGCGTATGGCTGTTTGTCAGGATAAAAATGGAGTTTTCTAGAATTTTTCTGGATTCCAGGAGGGAATTCTCAAATGTTCCACTTTTTTGTGTTCTGTTATCGTCTTTTGGGCCACCCTTACTTGATTAGCCCTGATATCGATATTCCGGACTGGATCGAGGGAGTCAAAACACACAAACACACATTCCGATCACACACACGCGCTCAGGGCCTTCCCTATAGATGGAGTGTGTGTGTACTGGTGTGTGTATGAGTGTGTGACAGGGCCGTCGCTGGCTTAGCGATTCAAATTTCACCCGCCATTGACTCCGAAAAACAACTAGCGCCTCAGCCGAGTGGAAAACACGATCCAATTGGATTCCAAAACTAACTCATTTCACTGACCAGGCAGTGGAACCTCCATCTGAGATTCAAAGCTGCCGTAAACAAACTCTCAGTATAAACTCTCAGTGACTGCACTGCACTCAGACTGCACCTCCCCCAGCGGCCACCAGGTGGCAGCGCAGCAGCGCGTTCAACACTGGGCTGAGTGGACACTACACGCTCTCAGAGGACAAGAGAGAGAAAACACTCCACACTGCTGAGGACTGAGAGAAGAAATGATTAAAGGAGTGAAAGAGGGAGGGAAGGAAGACAAAGAGTGAAGGAGAAAAAGAGACAGAACAGAGCAAGGCACGCTTGAGAACTGCTGTGAAAGAAGAGAGAGAGAGAGAGAGAGAGAGAGCAGAACGAAAGTACTGTTCGTGTCCAAACTACTCCGAAAAAAACGGGAAAAAAAAGAAAGGAGTGGGGACAGAATGAAAGAGGGGTGACAAAAGAAGACAAATGACAAAAGAGAGAGAAAGAAAGAGAGACAAAAGAGGAAAGAAGAGAGAGTGAGGTAGAGAGAGAAAAAGAGAAAAAAGAGTGAAAGAAAGAGAAAAGATGGGAGAGAAAGAGTGAGAGGAAGGAGAGAGAGAGAGAGAGAGAAAAAGAAAAGGGAAGAAGGCAAAACAGACAAAAGGAGAGAAAAAAGAGTAGCGAGGGAGAAAGAAAGCAAAAAAGAGAAGAAAGAGACAGAGGAAGTAAAAGAGAAGAGAGAAAGAGCTACTAGAGAGAGGGAGAAAAAGCCAAAAAGAAAAAGAGAGAGGGGGAGGGAGAGAAAAAGAAAAGATGGGGAAAGAAGGCAAACAGAAAAGAAGAGAAAAAAGTGGAGAGGGAGCAAGAAAGCAAAAAAGAGAGAGAACAAAGAGAGAGATAGAAGTAAGAGAGAGAGAAAGAGGAAATAAAAGAGGAACAGAAAAAAGAGAGACAGGAGAGAGAAGAGAAAGAAGAAAGAGAAAGCAAGCAAAAGAAAAAATAGAGAAAGAGAGCGACTAGAGAGAGGGAGAAAAGTCAAAAAAGAAAAAGAGAACGAGACAGAGAGAGAGAAAGAGAAAGGGGAAGGGCAGAGAGTGAAAGAAGAGAGCGGGATAGAAGGTAAAACAGACAAAAGAAGAGAAAAAAGAGGAGAGGGGGAAAGAAAGCAAAAGAGAAAGACGAAAGAAAGCAAGGAAGTAAGGCAAAAGAAAGAAAAGGAGAGAAAGAGAGCGACTAGAGAGAGAGAGAGATCAGGAAAGAAGGCAAAACAGACAAAAGGAGAGAAAAAAGAGAAGAGAGGGAGAAAGAAAGCAAGCAAGAGAGAGAGAAGAAAGAGAGAAAGTGAAGTAAAAGAGAAACAGAAAAAAGAGACAGAGGAGAGAGGGTGAGAGAGAGAGAGAGAAAGTGAGAGAGAGAGGGGGATATATATATATATATATATATATATATATATATATATATATATATATAGAGAGAGAGAGAGAGAGAGAGGGCGAGAGAGAGAGAGGGTGAGAGAGAGCGAGAGAGCGGGAGAGAGAGAGAGAGAGGGAGAGAGAGAGAGAGAGAGAGAGAGAGAGAGAGGGAGAGAGAGAGAGATAGCGAGAGAGAGAGAGGGAGAGAGCGAGAGAGAGAGAGAGAGAGGGGGCGAGAGAGAGAGGGTGAGAGAGAGCGAGAGAGCGGGAGAGAGAGAGAGAGAGGGAGAGAGAGAGAGAGAGAGAGAGAGAGAGGGAGAGAGAGAGAGATAGCGAGAGAGAGAGAGGGAGAGAGCGAGAGAGAGAGAGAGAGATAGAGAGAGAGGGCGAGAGAGGGAGAGAGAGAGAGAGAGAGAGAGATAGCGAGAGAGAGAGAGAGATAGTGAGAGAGATAGCGAGAGAGAGAGAGAGAGGGCGAGAGAGAGTTAGTTACAGTGGGTGAGTGTGTGTCGGTGCTGATATGAGAGCTGAAAGGTTCTCTTAGCGTCTCTAAAGTACAATAACGCGCCTTTTCTCCTCCATCATGGAACAAAAGAGTGAAAAAAACGAGAAGAAAATCCTCCAGATATGTTAAACCCACACAGCACAAACAGCAGCTCCCGCAGTGTACACACACACACACACACACACACACACACACACCACACACACACACACACACACACACACACCACACACACACACACACACACACACCACACACACACACACTCCTCGCTCCGCGCCGGTGACGAGCACCTTCACAATAGCCTTTGTGCTGCGGTGGCGTGACGCTAAAACACAGGCTGCTGCCGATCTGCTCGCCTTCAGGCCACAACCATGTTTAATTCACAGAGAGCGGCAACACACACGCAGAGCGAGAGCAAGAGAGAGAGAGAAAACAGAGAGAGAGAGAAAGAGAGAGAGAGAGAAAACAGAGAGAGAGAGGGAGAAAGAGAAAACAGAGAGAGAGAGGGAGAAAGAGAGAAAACAGAGAGAGGGGGAGAATGAGAGAAAACAGAGAGAGAGGGAGAATGAGAGAGAACAGAGAGAGAGAGGGAGAATGAGAGAAAACAGAGAGAGAGAGGGAGAATGAGAGAGAACAGAGAGAGAGAGGGAGAATGAGAGAAAACAGAGAGAGAGAGGGAGAATGAGAGAAAACAGAGAGAGAGGGGGAGAATGAGAGAAAACAGAGAGAGAGAGGGAGAATGAGAGAGAACAGAGAGAGAGAGGGAGAATGAGAGAAAACAGAGAGAGAGAGAAAGAGAGAGAGAGAGAAAACAGAGAGAGAGAGAGAGAGAGAGAGAGAGAAAACAGAGAGAGAGAGAAAGAGAGAGAGAGAGAAAACAGAGAGAGAGAGAGAGAGAGAGAGAGAGAGAGAGAAAACAGAGAGAGAGAAAGAGAGAGAGAGAGAAAACAGAGAGAGAGAGGGAGAAAGAGAAAACAGAGAGAGAGAGGGAGAAAGAGAAAACAGAGAGAGAGAGGGAGAAAGAGAGAAAACAGAGAGAGGGGGAGAATGAGAGAAAACAGAGAGAGAGGGAGAATGAGAGAGAACAGAGAGAGAGAGGGAGAATGAGAGAAAACAGAGAGAGAGAGGGAGAATGAGAGAGAACAGAGAGAGAGAGGGAGAATGAGAGAAAACAGAGCGAGAGAAGGAGAAAGAGAGAAAAGACTGAAGACAAAACAGCAGTAATGTTTTAATAATAGATCTAAAATCTCGCTGAGATCTCGTGAGTGTGTTTCTGAGCATCTGAGCTAATCCTGCATTCATCACTGCTGGAATATGAATTTTTTCAAAAAAACCAAGAAGTTTAAAAACTAAACGTTGCACATAATCGTCACTTCCAGTTAAGTGGGAACTTCGGAACTTGTAACCGAACTTTACCCAAGTGAGAACTTCGGAATCAATTCACAACGGTTTCCTAAATTCGTGACTTTACCCAAATGGGAACTTCAGAAACTACGGGGAATTTTATTTTTTTAAGTTAGCAATTTGTTACTGACCTTTACCCAAGAGGAAACTTCGGAAACAATCGGAAACATTTTTTCTGAGTTTGCAACTTTTTCCTGAAATTTATCCAAGTGGAAACAATACAGGACAATTTTCTGAGTTCACAACTTGCTCATGAAGTTTTCCCAAGTGTGAACTTCAGAAACAACTTGGAATTTTATTTTTTTAAGTTAGCAATTTGTTACTGACCTTCACCCAAGAGGAAACTTCAGAAACAATTTGGAATTATGGAGTCCTGAAATGTATCCAAATGGAAAAATTACACAACAATTTCCAGAGCTTGTGGCTTGTTCCTGAATTATTCCCAAGTGGAAACAATTTTGAAAAAGATTTGCAGCTTGTTACAGACCTTTACCCTCATGGAAACTTTGAAAATGATTCGGAACAATTTTCAGAATTTGCAATTTATTACTGACCTTTATGTAAGTGCACCTCTGAAACAACTCCCTGAAAATTCCCTGAGTTTGCGACTTGTTACTGACTTTTTCCACATATGGAAACAATTCGGAAGATTTTTGTGAGTGTGAAACTTGTCTTATCAAAATGGGAACTTCGGAAACAATTTGGAACAGAATTTGTGACTGGTTACTGATCTTTTCTCAAGTGGAAACTCCGGGAACAATTTGGAATTATTTTTTGAGTTTGTGACTTGATTCTGAAATGTGTCCAAGTGGAATAATTGCACAATTTCCTGAGCTTGCGACTTGTTCCTGAATTTTCCCAAATAGGAATTTTGGAAAAATTGCTGAGTTTTGGCAGTTTGTTACAGACCTTACCCACGTGGAAACTTTTTCCATATATGGAAACAATTCAGAAGAATTTTTTAGAGCGCAAATTGTTACGTTCCCGAGTTGACCAAGTGGAAATGCGGAAACAATTTTGGAATTATTTTCTGAGTTTGTGACTTTAAATTTATTTGTTTAAATTTAAAGCGGAAAAATTACACAACTATTTCCTGAGCTTGCGACTTGTTCCTGATTTTTTCCTAAGTAGGAATTTTGTAAACAATTTTGAACAATTTTCTGAGTTTTGCAGTTTGTTACAGATCTTTACTTGAGTAGAAACCTTAGAATCAATTTAGAACAATTTTCAGCAATTTGTTACTGACCTTTATGTATATGTGGGAATTTCTGAAAATTCCCTGAGCTTGCGACTTGTTTCTGACTTTGTCCACATATGGAAACAATTCGGAACAATTTCCGAAAAAGTGTCCTTATGTTACGTCACGTTCACGACCTAATCCAAATAGGGAACTTCAGGGAACAATTTGGAACAATGTTCAGAATTTGTGACTTGTTACTGATCTTTACTCAAGCGAAAACTCCGGAAACAATTTGGAATTATTTTCTGAGTTTGTGACTTCCCGGTGACCACTAGCCTTTCATCATGGAAGAGGAAAGGGCGAATTTATTGGTCAACTGTAGGTAACTAATTCTATATTCAAATTCATATCCATTTTTAGGATATTGTGATTACAGCATATCTTATATTTTGAAAACATTGGTGAATCAATAATATCATATGGTTAAAGAACCATGTGACATTATACAGAACTGTTAAATTACATGAATATCAGACACCCACAGAAACACTTATCTGGAACCGTGATTGGTCAGGATGGTCACACAGTAAAAACCACTGTGATTAGTCAGAGACTCGTCTGCATATTGTACTGATATCAGTGTTAAAAGGGCCAATATTGCACTAACAGTGAACCGAATGAAATACTGTGCAGCTGCAGAAGCAGCGCAAGAGAATTCGTCCCAGTTGTGTGTGAGAGTGCAGAGAAAAGCCCGGGCCGAGTTTAGACCGACCCCTGGGGGGATTGCAGGACTAATGCAATGAGCATAATGATGCGACTACAGAAAGCAGACGTGGGGGCTGCCCGCAGAGGCCGGCCAGCAGGGATTAAACTTCAGTCAGAGCCAATGCTGACTGCAGAATGTGAATGTGTCTGCGTGAGGATGCGCGCTGACTGCAGAGCGATCGCCCGCTGAGGGATTATAATGCGCTCTTACTGGCCTTGCATCTGAATACGCAGACACACTGTGAGTGTTTGTGGGAACCAAACGTCCACACAATGATGGAAAACAGGAACGTTTTGACACGAGGTGGACATCTGACCGCTTTAAACTCTAACTCGCTTTTTATTCATTTATTTTTAAAAACAATTTTTTTTCTTTTGCACAATCTGCGCCAAATACGCCTTTTAAAATGTGCAAAAATACACATTTTTAACAAAAACTGCAGCAATAGTTTACATACAATAAACAAAAACTGCAAAAAATGTTTTATTTACAAAATTTGCACCATTTTTTCCCCCAAAACCTGTATTTCTCACAAAACCTACACTAACCGCTCTAAGAGTTCAGTCAGTGATGCTACCGTTGCTAACAATGGATGAAAGTGAAGAGCTAAGCATGCTAAAAAAGTGCATTCAGGCTATGAACAGCACATCACAGCATTAGCAGGTGTGGTCGGCCTGTTTCTTTCGGGTTCGGGTTACGTTTAGGGGTTAGCAAAGCGGTGTTTTCTTCATTCTGAGGTTCCTCCTTGACTGTGATTGGTCCACTGGATGAAGGGAGCTTCTAGCGGTGCTAAGATGTACACGGAGTTGCTTTCAAGTACAGTCATGTGCAAAAGTCTGGAAAAATAAGTGAACACATCGTCTACAGAGAAATCTCTTCTGTCCATTTAACGCACAATTACTGTTTATTTGCTGTTTATTTTGTATTTATACAACAGTCAGTTCCGGCCACGCGAGCTGATTGGCTGAGAAGTGTTCTAACTGTGCTGTTATTTCACCATAACATTACAGGTTTTTCACAAACACTGTATCACTCACTGGGACGCCGTTGCTAAGCAACGACTTTGATGGCTGTAGGAGACGTTTGAACGTTTTTACTTCTTACTTTGCTACAAACAGAAAATGGATCACATTTGACCGACAGCCGATTTGGTCAGACTCTGAAGATGAGACGACACTAAATTCCCAAACTGACAGTTGGTCTGTGTGGAGCTGGAGAACGAACTGCCGGCTGTACAGCGAGTGGGCGGAGCTCGTTACTCTGACGTAGCAACAAGCTGCTCGTTAAGGAACTATAATTTGGTGAAGGAACTGCGAACATTAAAACATATTAAACGCCGCGTTCACGGCCCAGTTTATTAATTTATTACTTTATTTATTTAACTGTTGTATAAAAGCAGTAGAACACTCGAGGAGTGTGTTATCGCCAATAACATCACAGCTGTGATGATCTACGGCGACCAAATCACAGCCGTGATGTTATTTCGCGATAACACACTCCCTCTGTGTTCTACTGCTTAAATATGTTTTTTTGTCTACTAAAAATGGCAGAAAAATGCCGTATTTAAGTGTGTCCTCTGTATAGGATACTTAACTTATTTACACTTAGAAAATCAACCGAACATGCACTTCAAACAGGGGTGACTGTATATTTACCACAGTGTGTTTGACTTTGTCAGGTTCTTTGTTTGTACCTCACTCCAGCTTGTACTACACCTTGATGAGCTTTGGGACTGTTGGAAGCCCCTTTCTCCCTCCCTTTCAAGCAAACTAGATTTTTCACCAGGCAAATATCATTTACTCCACTACACTTCTGATGGGCAGAGTACACAGACACACCCCTACACTCTAAAGAAAACAGGTACTGTACTGTCACTGCGGCAGCACCTCTTTCATCGCTGGGGTGGTTCCCTCAAGGGTACATCTCAGTACCTTTAGTCAGGGGACATAAGATCGCTTTTCAATGGGAACAACTTATTTAAGGTGCACGACTGGACCTTAAAGCCACTGTTGTACCTTTGAGGGAACATTTACATTGTTTGAACCTTGATGAACGAAAATGTACCTGAACAGAACCTTTATTTCTAACAGTGTACTCCATCTCTCTCTCTCTCTCTCTCTCTCTCTGCGTACCTGTGTCAGGGTCAATGCTGAAGTGTTGCGCTCCAGCTCCGAGAAGCTGGTAGGTGATGTGGGCGTTGGAGCGGATATCAGCGTCCACAGCCGAGACCTGCAGGATGAGCCGTCCAGCAGCAGAGTCCTCAGGAACGCGGTCGGTATAAAGAGACTAAAGACAGAGAGAAAGAGAGAGAGAGAGACATTCATTACTAATAATCCTGTAAATATTTAAATTAACACTGTTCAACATCGCTGTGCAAAATCTTCGGCACCAGAGAAAATTATACTTAAAAACTATTTATCTGGTAAGCGATTAGTGTTGGAATAACACTAATATTTGAATCAATATAGATGATATTAAGGCAATAAGCAGTGATTTTACCTGTGCGAATGTGTTTAATGTGTTAATGTGTATAATTATATGTCCCATAAGCATTATATATATGTAGTAGCTATATCGTATCTCCAAAATGGTAACTTTACAGGAGAAGGAAAAAACATACTTTACTCTTAATGTAAGTCAATGGAACTAGAATTTTTTTCCAAGTAATTTTGGGCCGTTTCTTTTGGTCCATTCATCATGAAATTTACACACAATGTAAAGAGCAACAGGTACTTTCAAATTATGACAAAAAAAAACAAAAATGAACATATGAGGTTTTGATCTCACACTATTTATCTATCTATCTATCTATCCATCCATCCATCCATCCATCCATCCAGATATCTATCTACTGTGACCTGTCCAGGGTGTTTTGGCGGCTTAGAAAATGTGTGTGTATCTATACAAATACATACATGTCTATATATATACATATATATATATATACACACACACACACACATACATGCACACCTAATTTGTGTAATCAATCCATCATTAAATTGAATCAGATGCTGCTGATGGACCAAATCTGTGTCCTTCTATCTGTAAAATACCTTCACTGAAAACAAGAACTTCTACAGTTTTGCTGTATTTCGATTCATTATAATGTTATACAGAGTTTTTACTGGCAAAAACACACTGCAGAGATAAGAGGTCTTAAACAATGTGCTTCAGTGTCTAAGCGCTGTATGTAACGTTACATAACGTCTCAGTTATGTTTACTCTTAATTGCTCTGGCAACAATTTAACTTTAACAATCATGGCAATTAAGCACTGTTGAAATGAGGAGGGGGAGCAGAGAGAGAGAGAGAGAGAGAGAGAGAGAGGAGCGAGATAAAAAAGAGACAGTGAGTGAGAGAAAAAGCACAGAAAAAGAAAGAGAGAGCGAGAGAGAGAGTGGAAGAGAGTGAGTTCGAGAGGGACAGAGACAGATGGAGAGTGAAGGCAGCCAATACACGGCCAAATAATTAAGACATAAGAAAAAGAGAGAAATAAGGAGGTGGGTGGTAGACAAAGACCAAACGGAAAAATACAGATAGAGAGAGCGAAATAATTGGAACAGATTGGTGGGGGAGAGGGGGAGGAGGGGGGGGGTGTAGACGAAATGAAAAAGAAAGATTAGAGACAGTCACTGTGGGAGTTCTACCATTAAAATCTAACATAGAACAAAACACACACACAAAGCTGGGCACTAAACTCCATTCAAATGCAATTGAGGGGCATTAGCCGCCACAGAAAACCTCAGCAATGCAGAATGACCCTCTTTGTCTCTTAAATGCTACGTTCCACACAAGAACCTTTTCAAACGCTGTTTCACTCGCTAAAATTCACTCTCTTTCGCTCTCTCACTCCGTCTGAAATCCAGTCTCTCTCTCTCTCTCTCTCCGACAAATCCACATCCACTTCAGCTTTTAAATCAGCATGCAGAGTGGAAACGCTCTTTCCCTCCTTCACCGACAAAAGACCACCGATTACATGACACACAGGTTTGTTTTCATACAGTGACTGGATGTGAGGTCACACATATGCTCTATATGGTAGTAATATATAGATACTTACACACACATATACATATATACACACACACATATACATATATACACACACACACACACACACACATATATATATATATATATATATATATATATATATAAATATATATATACATACATATATACATATGTATATATATATATGTCCTATGTATATTCTATATATTCCTAGATACTGTAGGTCAGTGCCTATCTATGTAGTAAAAGTATGTCCCATATGTTAGCACCCATATGTACTATGTTTCATAAGTGTTTTGTACACACACACACACACACACACACACATATATATATATATATATATATAAAAATAATTCAAGCATCTATATGTAATAATACTATCCTACATGTACTCTGTATGTATAGTACCTATATGTAATAATGATATTATCGATGATGTAAATGTCTATATATGACAATACGTACTGTATGTATTATTAATATCAATGATTCAACGTAATAATAATATGACCCCATGTCCCCATATATAACAATGTTCATTTATATGAGTTTATATATGACATATGTCCCACATACACACCTTTGAAAGTTTCATTCTGTTTTTGTCCTAAAAACTTAGGAAAACAAGTACACACACAAACACACGCTCCCACCTTCTCGCAGACAGGATTGTTGTCATTGGCATCCAGCACCTTGACCTCCACCACGGCCCTGGCGGCGAAGGTCCCGTCCGTGGCGGTGATATTGAGCAGGTAATTGTCCGTCTCCTCCCTGTCCAGCGGCTTACGCACGTACACCTTCCACTCGCCATGAGCGTATTCCACATTAAACTGGCCCAGCGGGTCACCACCTTCACACGGTCAGGGGGGAAAAAGTCACTCCGGTTAAATTGTGTGGAAAGTGCACATCCTAAACTTTTGAAGCCGTACTGGGTTTGTGTTTTAGGTAGAACCTAATCTTTTACATTTGTGCTGTGTTTGTCTTTGTTTGGCTTGAACCTGACAATACAAACAGCAAATCAAATGTAAATGTGTAACTAAAAAGGTAAATAATATTACATTTGAACTGTATATCCAGGCGACAATAAATCGAGACTCTGAACGGTAAATAAACTAATACTTCAGAGGAAGATCTCAAAGCTGCACAGATTTCAAAGCTGACTGCCAACTAAGAAGCGCTAAGTGACAGCTCACACTTAATCAGCAGACACTTTTCTAATGTTTGCCTTGATGATATCTCTGGTATCAGTAAGTTGACGCACCAGTGGATCCTGTGCAATGAGGTGCTTGTCAAACTTACAAGTCTGCATCTGCTGAAACTTCCAACTTGTGTTTACGGAGGCACTGATTCATTCACAAAAACATCAAAAAATACCAGCAGTTGTTGATTTGTGTGAGACACCGGCTTCAATCGTAATCAAAGATCACGCAAAGAGGAGGATAACGAGGCAGTTCGGTTTGCCAGCGCGCAAGGAGATACTCATCGCAGCTTTATTTCTGACATCTTAGGATATTCAGCTTGGCACAGTTATTCGCACAAGCTAATTAGCACCAAAGCTTGCCTATTTCCCCTGCCAATTTCAAAGAGTTATTGGTATAATTACACGAGGAAGACTTTTTCCAGTGACCCAAATATTTAGACGGGCGCTTTAAAACTTGTTTACAGATTAAATGGGTGACATATTTGAGCAAGCAGATGATATCTTCATACCGGCTTGCTTAAGTGGCTCAGCTGCGATGAGATGTTATTAGCATAGATTAATTGAGCGCTTGTAGATTACTAGTATCTTGTACCCTATATCAGCTCTATGTTTTGCAAAATTGACATAGATAAAAGTTCTAGTGTTGTCAGGCGACAGCAATATCAGTTGTAAAACTTGCATCTTCAAGTGCGCAAGGATGTGCTTACCTGTAATGAAGTATTCCACTTGTTTGTTGATGTCCTCAGAGTCAGCATCTGTTGTGCTGAGGATGGCGATCACACCACCAGGAGGGTCGTCTTCGCTGACCGTGCCTTTGTAGATCTCTGCCGTGAAACGAGGCGAGTTGTCGTTTACGTCTGCTACCGTCACATCCACCTTGGTGCGGGCCGTCAGCTGCACTTTGTCTCCCCGATCAGTGGCCAGAACGGCAACAGTGTATTTGTCCCTCTGTTCCCGGTCCAGTTCCTTCAGGGTGGTCACCCAGCCTGTTTCACTGTTAACGGCAAACAGTTCAGCTATCTCTGCCGAGTCTTGGACAGGATCCAGACTGTACATAACCTGCCCATTTGTGCTCGAGTCCAAGTCCGTTGCCTTCACCTGTATCACAGAGGTGCCTCCTGGAAGGTTCTCTGCAACAACAGCCTCATAAGGATCCGACTCGAAGAGGGGATGATTATCATTGATGTCCTTGACTTGGATGCTAATGTCCACAGAGGAGATGACCTCAATGCCTTGGTGTTCACTTTGTGCTTGGAGAGTGAGCTGGTACCACTTTGTGCTCTCATGGTCCAGGTTTTTCTCCAGCTTAAGAGCTCCAGTGTCACGGTCAACCACGAACACCTCATCCCTGTTGCTCTCTGGGGTGTTACCCTTCACCAGGCTATAGATCACTGGCTGATCGCTTTCTGCCTGAATCACATCTATCTCAGAGCCCAGGGGACGATCCTCGTCTACAGAAAACCTGTAGTGCGGTTCTACAAACTTCGGCACTTTGATTTCTGGGGCTAGCACCCTGACGTAGACTGGGACCACAGAGGATCTTGCGGGATTTCCGCCATCCTTTGCACGCACAATGAATGTGTACAGCTCGTTCTCTAAACCGATAAGACTCTCTTTAGTCACAATGGCACCAGTGAGAGAATGGATTTCAAAGTTCTCTGCTACGTTATCTGTGTCTGCTTCAATGGTGTAAGTGATGTCAGCATTACTGCCTTCATCCATGTCAGAAGCTGCAATTTTAACCACTGTCGTTCCTCTTGGAACATCTGCTGCTATGCTGACTTTGTATTCTGCAGCTCTAAACTGTGGGGAGTTATCATTGATGTCAGTTAGGATCACGCTGATGGTGCAGAATCCAACTTTGCCACCACCGTCTTTTGCCATCAAAGAGATTGGAATGACTTTCTCCAAAGCATTCTCTCGATCAAGACTCTCCAAAGTGAAAATTTCACCGTCTTCATTGACAGAGAACTTGTCTTTGGCAATATTGTTGACTATGTGGTATGTCAGTCGCCCATATGTACCTGCATCAGCATCCGATGCTTGGGCCTCTGCCACCAGTGTTCCAACTGGAGAGTTTTCCAGAAGCTCAACAATATAGTCAACTTGAGGGAAGGTGGGACTGTGGAAGTTAGCACCAATGACAGAAACTTTCACGAGAGCAGAGTTCCTGAATACGCCATCGGAAACGGAAACGTTAAGGTTATAGAGGGACTCCATGTGTGGCTTCCTGTGATTGGAAATGACAATAGCTCCAGAGTTTTTGTCAATGGCAAAGTTCTGCTCCTCATTTCCTGACAGGATTGAGAACTCAAGCTTTGCACTGTCAGAGCTGTCTGCATCTGAAGCCTGAACTTGAGTCACAAAATGTCCACGGGGCGCCAGCTCGCTGACCGCTGCCTCATAAACGTTTTGTGAGAACACAGGAGGATTGTCATTAAGGTCCATGATGTCAATTGTCACAGTGACTTCACTTGAAAGTGCAGGAACTCCTCCATCCACAGCCCTCACCATTAGTTTGTGTTGAGTTTTCTCCTCGTGGTCCAGCATACGAGCTGTCCAGATAGTTCCTGTGTCGCGGTCAATGGTGAAGTACTCAAAGCTCCGGTCTTTATCCTCGATTATCTGGTAGAACAGGAGTTTGTTGTTACCTGTGTCTGCATCGGTAGCAGAGACCTGTACAACAGAGGTGCCGATCACTGAGGCTTCAGAAAGGCTTGCGTTGTAAGACTTGGCAAGGAACACGGGCGGGTTGTCGTTCACATCCTCCAAGATTATGTCAACAAAAACTTCAGCTTTAGCACCAGTTAGGGAGTCAATGGCTCTTATGCTTAGTTTATAGGCAGGGTGTGTCTCAAAATCGAGAGGTTGAACAACATGGATTACACCAGTGTTGAAGTTGATTGAGAACTGACTATAAGGATCCCCCTCTGAGATGGTGTACACTATCCTAGGCCCTTCAGAGTCGCTAGCCTGGACATGGACAATGGGTGTGTGTAGTTGTATGTTCTCAGGGATCTCCAGACTGTAGAACGGTTTCTCAAATACTGGTATGGCTTTGTTTACTACAGTTATAGGCACTTCAACAGTTGCAGACAGCGATGGTTCCCCACCATCCGTTGCAACAACTGTGACCACGAACTCTGAGTCCAGGGAGTCCTTCTCAAACGGCTTTTTCAGTGAGAGTTCACCGCCTGAGCTGATCTGGATATATTCATTCAGTTCCTGTAGGTGATACTTTATCTCTGCATTACGCTCAGTGTCTGCATCTATGGCAGTAACCTGTCTAATCATGTGGCCCACCTCAGCATCTTTCTGGACCAGACCATGGTAAGGCAAGTTGACAAACACAGGAGGATTGTCATTGACATCCTCAACAGTAACTGTTACAAGAATGTGAGCAACATCAGACGACTTGCCTTCCTTGCTAACTTCCACTACAATTTCATAGGTGTCTTGTTCCTCACGGTCAAAGGGTATGCCAGTTGAGGAGAGTACACCAGACGTACGACTGATCTCAAACCTCCTATCTGGGTTCAAAATAGTGTAAAACAGTGGCTCATTCACTTGGTTGCCCACAGCCGCAATGACAGCCAGAGTCTTCTTCTCCAAAGAGTTCTCCTGCACAAAAGCCTTGTAGGAATTTTGTGTGAACCTCAGACTGCTTGCTTTATTCTCTCTGACATTTATCTTTACTGATGCCATTCTAGAAAACCTACCATCGGACACCCTAACTCTCAGCTCATACCTGCTTCTCAACTGGGTGACATTTTGAATGCTAATAACCCCAGTGACCGGATCCATTTTAAACTTTTCTCCAATGTTGCCTTCAGCAATTGAGTACAGGAGTCTTGCATTTGGTCCTGAGTCTGCATCACTGGCATTGACGGTGATGACCTCCACACCTTTGTAAGTTGGCACTAGAACTGTAGTCTCGTACAAGTCCTGACTAAACTGTGGTGGGCAATCGTTGACATCTATGACTTTGATGGTCACGTTTGCAGCTTTTTCTGCAAAGTGTCGGGGGATTCCCATGTCATGGACTTGCACGGTGAATCGAAAAATAGATTTCTGTTCATAATCCAGCTCTGTTGTGGTTCTGATTGCTCCAGTGCTGGAATCAATAGCAAAGTAGTTGTGGGCAAATGGTTCCACAATCTGGTAAACTAACCTAGCATTGGTGTCACGGTCCATGTCTAAAGCCCGGATGACTAGTGGTGTGCTGTCTTTGGTGAGGACCACACTTTTGACTGGAGAGGACTCGCTCACCATCCCAGTAAACTCATCCTGGATGAAGACTGGAGCATTGTCATTTTCGTCCTTCAGGTGAATGAGAAGTGTAGCATTGGTAGACTGGCCAGCCATGTTGGTTCCCTGAATGGTAAGTTTGTACGATGGTACTGTCTCGTAATCCAGAGCCCTCTGAGTCACAACCACTCCAGAGTTGGGGTTAATGTCAAAAGCTCCATTCATGTTCCCATCTTTAATCTGGTAAAAGACTGACGATTGACTGGTGGCCGTAACGAGACTCACAAACGTTCCAGGAAGTGCAGTTTCGCTAACCTCAGCGGAAAATTCCTTCTCAGTGAATTTAGGCTTGGCATTGTCTGAGATAGTAACAGTGATGTCAACAGTTGCTGTCGCACTGAGGGGTGGAGTTCCTCGGTCTGTAGCTTTCACCGTCAGCTCAAACTGATTCTTGTTGTTTCGGTCCAGCTCTTTCGCCACAGTGATGGTCCCCAGAACAGGATCAATGGCAAATGAATTAGCCACATTTCCTACAGAACAGAAGAATAAAACAGACATGTATCACCAGACTTGCCTAAAGTACTGAAGTCTTTTGGAAATCCATGCTATTTTTATCTATTATTTTTTATAATTGGGTTCCTTGTGAGTGCATACTCAAATTAATCTTGTAAGAACATTAACGTTCTTTAAACTCTACAGCCTTTTCACTGAGTCAACTCCTCCAGCTTTTTACAGGTTGCAAAGGTCGTTTCCTGCCCTTTTATTGTTACATAGGTGAATTTTGCAGCTGCATTAAACTAAATTAAGCAAATTTTTTCATGTTCCATTCTCTGAGAGCATCTGGAGTTCATCCAGGTCAGTCTACTGGCTTGCATTCACTATGGGGAGTGCTGACAGACTGGGCCTTACAGTTCAATTGGCCCCAGTCATCCCAGACACGTCAAAAATGTGCCTTCTCAACAGGGCGCCCAGCATCACAGAAGCGTTCCTGCTTTGCTGTCCAAACACTGGGTATTTATTAAGACAACAATGATGGGAAATGGAGGGGGGGGATCTACTGCATACTTGGCGATCTTTTTACTTTCCTTTCTCCACATTTCGTTTTTCCCTGCTATCCTTCTCTGGGCTCTCCCTACTTTTCTCCATCTCTTTCCCTGTTCTTCTCCCTCCTTCATATTCTTCCCACTCCTTATGACTTTCTCTCTATCGTTCCATGATGCATGACGTCTTCGCAGTCTCTGTCAAATGTGTCATTCATGAATAAGTCTGGTGGGTTGGAGACCTTTGGATGGCACACATAAACTCTCCCACTTTCCCTTGCTGAGCAACAGAGGCACAAAGGAAAACATGGACAACATGATAGGAATGCTAGGCCTACTGCTGGGGGGTCTGGCATGGCATTTCACCCTACAGTATCCAAATATTTCCTATGCCATTGTGTACATGCTTGGGGTCACATGCAGAAATATTTAAAGCCCCTAAACAGGTAAAGCTGTGCCATCACCACTCCAGTACTTGCTCTGATATACCTAGCAGATACCTTAGTAAACGTACAAATAGTAATGATACTAAAACTTCCCGATTGGGGCCTTTGCGACAATATGCCATTGTGCTACACAGTCCATCAAAAGACACCTATCTTTTCAATAACTTAAATTTCAAAGACCAACTGTGATAGCGACAGTTCTGTCTTGGAATGGTGTCATGTTGAAGTGTTTTACCACCCTGCTGTGATGTCAGCACTCAACAGCACTCAGGATTTTGAACCAAGCCAAAATATTATCAGTTAGCGTTGGGCTGTATAACGGTAAGGTATACCGCTATTTTATACCGGTATTTTGAAAACTAAGACAAATTTCTATTCCATGTCTAAACAGCTAAATAAACATATTCCACCCATTTCCATTTTAGAGGGGTCACTGATTGGTGGTTTTTGGATCTCACCAATAGGAAAAAACCAGAATGAGCAGGAAAATCAGAGCCAAAAAGCTAAGCATAATGATTCAGCGATAGCAAAGAGCTACACACACCACAAAGCGCGTTTGTTTTCAGCTTTCACTCTAAGCTGGAAATGAGCCCGTGCTATGGTGTGTGGCACGTCTGGCCTGCTAACAAAGCTATGATTAGCTTAGCCAAACGCTACAGTCCCAAACACAACACAGAACAGGTTTGATTATGAGTTTCTACCACTTCAACACCAGTCGCTCGTCTTCTGCTCTCCCATTTCACCCAAATCAAACCTGTACTATGGTGTGTGGCACTGTTTATGTCTGTAGCCTGTTCGCTAAGATAACATCCAGTTAGCTAATCAGGCTAATTTAATTTGACCTTATCATCTAAACTTTAGTTTGTCAGAACTGAACATGTAGTGTGGTGGGTAGACCTGTTATCATGCTGGCTAAGCTACTGCTAACCAGCTTCTCTCTCTTAGTTAGCTACGCTTATTAAATTGGCTTGAAAATTGTGCTCTATTCTCACTTATTTGATGAGCATGTAAACGATTTCGATTTTGAAATAACGCAGAAAAAGATGGCACAAAACACTTAGGATGCATTAAGGCCCCTCCTCCCCCTCCCACAGTAAAACCATATACCTTGGTAATATTTGGAGGCAGTTTGAGGGCATGATATCAGTGGGTACTGCCCAACCCTAGTGTCAATGTGTGCTTTAAATAATAGTCTGGAAATCAAAGCTGTCAAGTCATTGTTTAGGTAAAATCTGCTCGTCATGCCAAAGACGATACTTTGAAGAACGTGAAGCTAAGTAGACCCAAAGGATTAGCGCATATCTGCTTTATGTTAGTAATTGTTTGTCTTTGGCCAACAAAAACAAAAAGATGGCAAGGTGTTCCCAAACTCTGCTGAAAGCATCGACTTGATGAAGACCTAATATGTCAATAAGGTATTCAATAAACTGATTACCTGATTCGATGCTGTAGACGATCTCTGCATTCTGGCCTTTGTCCTTGTCCAAAGCCGTCACCTGCAGCACCCTGGAGCCGACAGCTGCGGACTCAAAGACACGCCCCGTATATGGCGTTCCAGTGAACCACGGAGCGTTATCATTAGTGTCCTCCACATTGACAATCACCCGCACGAGGTTCCGCTTCACCGGGATGTCCTGGTCTCGCACCTGAGGGGACGAGAGAGAGAGAGAGAGAGAAAGAGAGAAAGAGAGAGAGAGAGAGAGAGAGAGAGAGAGAGAGAGAGAGACCAAAATAAAGTTGTAAAAATGTACATCATCAATGAAATTCTTATAAAACGAATATTTTGTATGAAGATCTAATAAAATTTAGATCCAGATTGAAGTTCTAATAAAATTAACTTCCAGAATGAAGTTTTAATAAATGAATATCTAGCATTAAGTTAACGTCATTAAGTTAAAAATGACGTTACAATAAAATTGTACAATAAAATAAAATTACAATAAAAACGTTAATTAATATCAGAATTAAGATCTAATAAAACTAATAAAATGAATATGCTGATTGCCTTATATGTCAAAAAGTGCAATCATATCTCAAGGCAGATACAACAGACATTCACAATATTATATTGATTACTATATTAATTTATTACATTATGTAAATTTATTCATATTCATATAATTTAAATATTGAATAAAACATCTAAAAATACTATTTGGCATCTAGATCATATTATTTTAATCTATCTCATACATGTCTGGTATATGAGCCACTAATATAAGAATATAAAATATTACTATTACAAAAATGACTAATATAAATAAAGATCCATAAGTGGCTTTTTGAAGCAGTTTCTTGTTTTGACAATTATCATTAGTACTCGACCTTAATTAATGCTGTTATTAACATTTATAATTCTTTCATTTTTACATAATTTTTTGTGTTCAATTTCATTTTTTGTTTCTTTGCAGTTTGAGCTGCACTTCATGAATAAAAGCTGCGACACATGAAGAATCTCAGGATTATTGTAGAGAAAGCCAGTGAAACTCAGAGCGACAGAAAGAGGTTAAAACAAGCTCGCAGCCATTTTTTCATCTCCAATAATTCAATTAAAACAACAAACTCATCAAACGCTGAAGAGAATCGAAATGGTAATGCGCTGCTCAATTCCTCCGAGACACGCGTGGATGCGCTCGGAATAAAGCGGTAAACAAAGCCGGAGAGGACATCAGGTGGGGCGATGCCTGACTGCCTCAGCACTTCCAATAACAGAGACAAATCAATCCGACAAACAAACAGCACAAAACACAGACGCACAGCCCTCCACACAACGCAGACAAATTAACTAATAAAGCAGAACAAACAAAACGCAGACAAACAAGCACAACTTCCACACCACAAACTGCCTGAAAGTTCCCGTAACTCTAATTAAACCCTCGTCTGGACGCTTCTGAGGTGAACTGATTACGTTAAGACGACCGGACAGTCATGTTTCATGATTAAACATCACCATTTCAGCCATTAACTGTTTACTGCATCACATTAACAACAGCATCTCGATTCCTAACTACTATATGACGCAGAATCAATACACAGCAGTGCCGTACTGAATAATACGCCCGAGCGGATGATGAAGTGTCACCTGAGCTATTTTGCTAAGCAACGCGTAAAAGGTCAACATTTTCTCCTCCACTTTTATGTCACACTTCATATTTTCTTAATCGAGAGACTGAATGTAATTAATTTATGCGGGAAAGTGACGGCGCGGGTCAGGAACACACGCCGCCATGCTTCACAGAGTACTGATATACATCTGTCGTGCTAAACCTTTCTGACCTCATATACAACTGTTTATTAATGTTGTTGTTTTTAATATATACACAGTATCAGTCCACCTACTAACAGAGGGGCTTTTCCTAAATGTTTCAACTTTCCACATTTAAAATAACTGTGAAGAATTCAAAACAATTAAATTACAATAAGACATACGGAATCGCTATTTATGTTGGTCTTTGCTAAACATTTCAAGCATTAAGATCAGACAGTCAGGGCATTCAGTCAGACAGACAGGCAGACAGACAGACAGACAATCAATATCCAGAAAGAATTTATAATAAAATGAAAATCTAGAAGTTCTAAAAAATCAAGAATGAAGTTACAATAAATTAAAATCCAGAAAAAAACTACAGACAGACAGACAGACAGACAGTCCATCAGTCAGACAGACAGACTGACTGACAGTCAAACACAGACAGACAGACGGACATACAGACAGTCAGAAGGACAGACAGACAGACAGACAGACAGTCAGACAGACAGACAGATGGACAGACAAGCAGGAGGGAAGTTGTGCTGTGTACCATGACGGTGAGCGTGTGCTGGTGCATGGTCTCGTGGTCCAGTCTCTCTGCGGTATAGAGAACCCCGGTTCCAGGGTCCAGGCGGAACTTGCGCAGGCTGAACGGGTCGGTGCTGCTCAGCAGAGTGAAGGTCAGCTTGTTCTTCTCGTCCTGGTCAGACGCGCTGAGCCGCAGAGCCTCCGTCTCCGGCGGGGCGTCCTCACGAACCGTCACCTCGTACCGCGGCTCGGAAAACTGCGGCCGGTGATTATTAGTGTCGATCACTTTGATCAGAACCTGCAGAGGAACCGAGAGAGAGAGAGAGAGAGAGAGAGAGAGAGAGAGAGAGAGAAGTAAAGAAGCATTAGATAAAGAGCTACCAGGCACTGTTTTGCATGCACTATCTCAGGGGAGGCCCCCATCACAAATTCACTGTTGTTCTGACCCGCACTCGTCCGTTTGTCTTTTTTTTCCGTTCCTCATTTTTTCCATTCATTTTTGCCACCACACAAACTCTATTACTCCTTTGCCCAACAGCCCCCAAACTACATGTGTCCTCAAGCTCTAATCCACATCTACATAGACCCGCACTCCTCTATGTGTCGTTTTTCATCCCTCGTTCCTCACATGGACTCACATTCATTTTTAACAACACATAGCTACCACTTAGCAACTCCTCATAAACAACTTAAGAAACATCTCATACATCATAGCAACTGCCTAGCAACAATTTAGCAGCCACATGGGATACCGTAGCAACTGTCTAGCACCACCTTAGCAAGCCCCTGGGATACCATAATAACCACCTAGCAGTCCATTAGCAACTGCTTTGGATACCTAGGCAACCACCTAGCGACACCTTAGGAACTTCCTGTCATACCATAGCAACCACCTAGCCAAACCTTAGCAACCACCTGGGACACAATAGCAACTGCCTAGCAACCACCTGAAAAACAATACCAAACCCCTAGCAACACCATAGCCACCACCTTTGCTACCTTAGCAATCATCTAGCAAAACCTTAGAAACCCCCGGAATACCATAACAACCACCTAACAGTCCACTAGCACCACCACCTGGGATACCAAGTCAACTGCCTAGCAACAACTTAGGAACTACCTGTGATACCATAGCAACCACCTAGTCACACCTTAGCAACCACCCGGGGCACAATAGCAACTGTGTAGCAATCATCTGAAAACCTTGGAGCTCCAGACCACAGTCATGTTTCTAAGTAGAAGATGGGACATTTATTATGATTTAAACTTGATGTAAAGTTATTATTGTGCGCACAGTGTTGTTCCATGGAAAGAAAGAAAAAAACATACTTTGGATATTTGACATCAAAACAAATGGAAAAATTATATAAATGTGATTTATTATGCCATTAGAGAATTACAGTCAAATGATGGAATGAGAATTGAACAAACAACAGTGTTAAACAGGGTCTGGCTGGTCAACGTTGTAACGAGACTGAGTGAATCAATGCGCATTAGAGCTGCGCTGATATTTTAACTGCTCCTCTAACCGTCCCTCCCACCGAGGGATCAATGTGGGCGAACCCTCGCTTGGCCAAATGAGCTGAGGGTGTGTGTCAGTAGGGCCTGAGAAAATGTTACGGAGTGACATTTTCTTTTAGTAAATACCAACTCACTCGCCTCGGTAATGTAAAAGGATGTATTTCATTAACAGTTATGAAAACAGCGGAGCAGAGTTAAATGTCAGGGTGAAGGATGTTGCATAATTAATTGATGGACTAACAAATAAACACGCTCTGAACAAAGGCAACACACTCACACACAGTCAATATAAGAAACCAACACTGGACCCTCATATACACTTCTTAATATTGGAAATTACTACTTAGTCTGCCATTATGACTTAGGGGTTCCTCAAGGGTACATATTAGGGCCCCTCTTATTCTACGTACATGATCCCCCGAGACAAAACATATGTAAGAACAGCATTTTCATTTCACTATTAGATCAAGCTGGCTGACAAACCAAAAACAATACCTTATCCTTAATCCCCTCCCTTAATATTGCTTGGCCTATAGTAGCTTAGCAACCGTAACCAGGCATGCCCACCTTTGACAAGCTCTCAAAACTTCATGAATGTAACGTCACAAAAATAAACTTAATGGGTGACAACTTTTTATGTAGATTGAAGTACCTAGTGCTTCAGCTGTGTTGCTGTGTGTTAGCTACGCTAGGCTAGCCTTGCTAACAGCTTTATCACTGCTTACAATTACAGAGTTTGTTGTGTTTGATCAAAAAAAATTGGAAAATTCGGAAGCTCTTTTGTTAAAGCACAGGTAAAACACCTCAGGGTGAAATAAAATCTGATAAGCAAGTCACTTAGACTGGTAGACTTAGACTTAGATGCTACAGAATGTCCACTTCGAAGTTAGGCTGATTGTTATAGCTAATCCAAACGAATCCGGTTGGAAAACAAAAGCGACAACATTTGACACCATTAGCTCAATTACACAACAAACAAACCCGACGGGCTCCTGAACGGCACAGCTGTCCAACATTGGTCACATCATCAGGAGATTGCGAGGTCAATCCTCCTGCACCCCTGTAACCAATGAGTGAAATCTGCCTAATCGATCTTACAATTCCTCGTTATGTTTAGCAGCATCTTCGCTATCACTCTGTAAAGCTGTCCAACCTTCCAACAATAGCTAGAAACGCACGTATAAGTCAACTGAAACAAGTTAACTGCACTGACCCTCATTCGATAGATCCTTCATGAGTGTGTTAGGACCTTGCGATGCAGTGCTACCGAGAAAGAACTGGAAAACGAATATAACTCACACCTTCAGTGAAGTGCTAGAATCTCTCTCACTCTCTCGGCCTCTCTATCACAGGCACACACATCCAGAGGCTTGTCTGGTTTTATCAAAGCCAACCAACCGTCTAGTTGGCTTCCTAGAGAGGATTAGCGAGTCCACCGGGAGCTCTTCACTGGCCAGCTTTTACAAAGCCTGCGAAAGTGTGAGTGTGGGCGAGCGAGTCGAGAGAGAGAGAGAGTGGATGCATGTGTATCCACACAGCCAGACACGCTTTCATAAAAGCTGCATAATGAACCAAACAGAGCACAGAGTGGCCCGGTGCATGCCAACCACCAGGGGGCGACGATTAACACGAGCTGCTACAAAAGACGGACCGGTTCCCCGAAGCACTCCTGGCTCAGAGCCCTGGTACCGGCCCCGCTGGCCGCTTCTACCAGCCGCACAGTTCAAAAGCTCTAAGCTGAAGTGAACGGGCAAGTAAAAAGGTAGAACGCGACCCATGTGCTCAATAGGAACCTACTGAAGACCTGCTGTAGGCTGAAAATGATTAGGTCTTTCTGGTGCAGAACCATGTTGGGAGGAATGAAGCTGGTTTACCTGCATTCGAAGCCGAACCAAAAACAAAGAGAAGCAGGGGCCGCTTAGCAAAGAAGGGAAGTAAAGGCCACAACAGTCTGTAATTATTCATTCAAAATGAGAATATTGACTTAAATTAAATTAAAATTTAAACTAAAACTAAAATTTCTCAGTTTCAACATTTGATATGTTGTCTTTGTACTATTTTCAATGAATTATAGGGTTTAAATGATTTGCACATCATTGTATTTTGTTTTTATTTACATTTTGCGCAGCGTCTTACCTTTTTTGGAAAAAGGGGTTGTATAAATAAATGTGTTTCTAGAACACTCTGCTAGCCCTGTGATGTAATTTGAGGGAAAATAACACGTACATCGTCAGAGCGGAGCTGGTGCATAGCCAGCGCTGCCCTTCGGGAGGGTGTGTGTGTGTGTGTGTGTGTGTGTGTGTGTGTGTGCTTGCTTGCTTCCGAGTGTGAAAAGCTGACACTGATTGTGGCAACAGCAGCATGTTGCTGTCCCTGAAGAGCAAGCCTGCTTTTATGAAGTGCCAGAGGAGGACAAAACATTCCTCTTCTCCTCCCCTCCTTTCTTCCTTCCCTCCCCCAAGACGTTCTCTCCATCCCTGCTCCAGAGCAGCGGCCCGCCGAACCGTAGATAGCTCAGAGCCGGGACGGATGAGCTGATCGCCACGGCGCCGCTCAGAGGGACTAAATGACGAGATGGGAGGTGATTGGACCCCTGCAGAGACGATACTGCTGATAAATGAAGCACGAGTTTTCTAGCGTGGCTGAATTAGATAACAGTGGATAAAGAGAAGAGACTCCGTAGATGTGATCTGTGATCTGCGCTCGTAATGAGGGAGAAACTGAGAAAGACGTATGGAAAAGAAATAATCCCAGGTTATATTAATCCCACGCTATTAACACAAATGGTCTAATCGTGAAATAATCCTAGGTTGTATTATTCTTGCGCTGTACAACAAATCATAGAAATAATCCCAATTTGTGTTGATCTCAAGCAATAACACAAACCATAGAAAAAACACAAATAGTGAATAGAGTTTAATAGTGAAATAATCCCAGGTTGTAACAATCTTGCACTATAAAACAAAGCGTAGAAATAATCTCAGGCTGTATTAATCCTGTCCAAATTTTAGAAATAATCTGTTCTTGTATTCAACTTGTGTTATAAAACAAACCACTGAAATAATCCCAGGTTGTAGTAATTCCATGCTATAACACAGACCATAAAAAAATCCCAGGTTGTATTAAACTTGGCTACAAAATAAACCACAAAAATAATCCCAGGTTGTTTTAATCCTGTGCTATAAAACAAAATGTAGAAATAACCTCAAACTGTACTAATCCTGGGCTAAAACACGAACTGTAGAAATAATCTTGTAAGGTTAGGATTTTAATAATCCTTTTATATTATATTCAACTTGTGCTATTGAACAAACCATTGAAATAATCCCAGGTTGTATTAATCCCATGCTAAAAAATAAAACATAAAAAATAAGAGCATATAACATAATATACAATATAATAATTAGATAAATATATTATATAATTATATTATAATTAATCCTGCGCAAACTGGATTGTCATTTTGTTCTTGAGCATTGAGGCAACAAGCTGATATGTAAGCAAGTGTGGTTTTATGCAATGATATATATATATATATATATATATATATAGTTTTATATGTATATAGTTTTATATATATATATAACAATCGATTTGCAGGATAACTATATACTATATACCACCCTGAACTGTACTAAAGAGAAATAGAACGAGCGAGAGACAGGAGGAGAGAGTGGGAGACGGAGAGAGAGAGAGGGACGAAGGGCGGAGTGGTTTACACCCATTCGGTCTGCGGAGCTCACGGTGGAACGCAGCGCTGCATCTGCGAATGCACGT